TGTGGAGGAGAGACAATGCTCTCAGGCTCATGTGGGAATACAGTTCCAGATGGACCAAGGTGTGTTCCAGGAATTCACTGCTCCTTACTGTGTAGTTGGACTTGTTGGATTTAGTGTAGACCTGCAGTAAAAGTCACATCCTAGATTTAATCAAGAAGATGTAGAGTGTAACTGGGGAGGAGGAACCATAAGCTGTATTTTCTTTGTAAGCTTGGTGGTGAGTATTTCAGGCCTAAGGACTTCTTCAGGCTTCTCCTCTCTTTAGGAAATTCATTTTTTGGTAATGTTGGGATAACAGGATAACTGGAATATTGAGAAGGAACTGTGCACCAGGCTTGGTGAGACCAGGAACGACAAAACACAAGGTGACTTCAGATCTACCCTTGATTAATGAAATCATCATCTTGAACAGTTCTCAGGTGCACCTCCTGACCCCAACACTTCTTTTTTTCTTCTTCCTTTCTCCTTTAGTCTTAGTTGCAGAAATTACAACCTCATTGGGGTAAGTAAAGTGGTCTAAGGAGTTTCCGTAATGCTGAAAGCAACCACTTCACTTTAGGGAAAATAGGAGGAAAACCTTCAGATGTCTTTGATTTATGATGCTAGAGAATTTGCAAAAGACTGCTTTCACCTCTGCATTTTAAGATTACTTGTATTGAAAAAGCACAGTTATGATTTTCTTAAAAGACTGTGTAAAATAAAGCTGAGAATGTTTTAAATGTAGTTTGGTTTCTTTGAGGAGTGTGGAACGATTAATACAACCCTTAATGCAAAGTAATTCCAGGGAATATTGCTCTGTAACATCTTTATGGTGTCTTAAGGTATCTCACCTTTGATACAGTCAGAGAAAAGCTCCTTCACTATAAATTGATGTTGCCTTTTGTTTGCTTTTTCCTTTTTCTCGCCTTTGCCACCTCTTTAATTCTAGTGTTACCATCCTCGTTTTTCTAATGTGTGCAGATGAATGAGTGCAGCTCAGGAGAGGTGTTTGTTTTGTATTCTTTAACAGCAAATGGGGTTTCAGTGCAATTACTGTAATGCCCTGTTCATGTTTCCTTCCTTTGTCAACTCGAGTTGAAAAAAATGGCTCTTTCTGTGCCCACATTAATTCCTTGCTTTTGGCACTTCAGGACTCTTGTGTCGATGTGATTTGTGGTTGTGGAGGGAGGAGGAGGAGCAGGGACAGCCTTTACCCGGAGGATCCCTTGGCTGAAAGCACAGCTAAGGAGGAAAAATATCTTCAGTGGCCTGGGTGGATCATCACACCTGTGGCTTGGGAATGAGTCACTGTGACTTTGTTGTATTTTCGTAGAATCCTGAAATGAGTTGGGTTGGAAGGGACCTTAAAGCCCATCCAGTCCCACCCCCTGCCATGGGCAGGGACACCTTCCACCAGCCCAGGTTGCTCCAAGCCCCGTCCAACCTGGCCTTGGACACTTCCAGGGATCCAGGGGCAGCCACAGCTTCTCTGGGCAACCTGTGCCAGGGCCTCCCCACCCTCATAGCCAAGAATTTCTTCCCCAAATGTGATCAGAACCTCCCCTCTGTCGGTGTGAAGCCATTCCCCCTTGTCCTGTCCCTCCAGGCCCTTTGTAAATAGTCTCTCTCCATCTTCCTTGTTGTCTCCCTTCAGGTAACTCACCCTGGCTTGGGCTCAGTCATAAATCTTTTGATGCTGGAGGAACCGTATTCTTTATTTTGCTCTGTGTTGTAGCAGAGGTGTTTCTGGTTTATGAGGTTGTGTAACTCCTTTGCCAGAACTTGAGCCGTAATTCTCCAGTTTGGGCACGAAGGGGAGGCCTGGAGTTACCTGGTGTAAATATTCCTAATGCTCCATTTAGCTCAGAGCTCTCCCAGCTGAAAATCTGTCATGCTGAGAACTGGATTTTTCAAATTAAGCAAAATTTAAAAAAAAAAGAAAATTTGCAAGTTATACTTCAGGTTTTTAAATATTTTAAATGGTGCCTCAGAATACAGTTGTTCAAACAAAATATAAGCATTCCGGTTTCATGCTTTACTCTTCCAAAATTTTGTCTTTTCCTTTAATTAAAGCCTTGTTGTTTGCTCCAATCAAACATTTTCTGTCATAACAGCTTTTGATGTCACTGTACATAAAAAAAAAAAGTATCCTGAGAGGGAGTTATCTGCTACCTAGCACAGGAGTAGGCAGTGTAGTGCAAGCCTTGCCTTGTAATCATAGGGTGGAATGCACTTTATAGTTATTTTGGTTGTTTGTTTCGTGATCTGTCAATGCTGCTGCAAGCCAAAAATGTGATTTATTTTTTCTTGCAGACACATTTTTCACGCGTATATATTTTCAAAGATAAATCATCCCTCCGTGGCTGTCGCTCCTCAACCAGTTCAGGGCAGTGGGAGCTGTCTGGGCAGTCATTACCCCTTGATGGCTGTTTGTCATCATCAGAGAATTGGTCATTACAGTGAAGCTTCTGGTACGTGACCCGTGTGATGGCAGACACCAGTGAAGACTTTTGGGGCATAAATTTTAGTGTCTTTTACTTGTAGCTGCCTTTGATCCTCAGTGTTGTTCCGTTTAATGTTTGAGCAGTGCTTGGCTGGAGTGTGAGTTGATAGTTTTAATCTGTCATCATGCGAATTCTTCCTGACTGGAATGTCTGATTTGAGGCAGTGGGATTGCTTGTCAGGGTCCTGAAGGCTGAAGACTCTCCTTGGGTTAATTTTTGGGTGCACGAGCATCCACTGGTCCTCTTGATTTGTGGGCCCTGAAGACATCTCAAATAAACACCCCAAGGGTGGCCAGCCTTACAAATTTGGAGGAGTTGGGACCGTGTAACTTTGTTTTCCCTGCTGTGTCCAAAAGCTGAGCTGGAACCATTCCTGGTGAGTGTTATCAAGCAGCCAGTCCCACGTGCCATGGATTCAGCATTGTTATCATCCCTCTGCTCAAAGCAGTTTAAAATGGCAATTTTTGTTAATGTGTTTCACAGAAGCCTCTTCTCCTGCAGAACTGCAGTTATGGCTTTCAAGTATCATGTGCCAGATAGCTGGGAGGGAGGGTTTATCTCTCTTTAATAATGACAAAATCAGCAAAAACATCAGAACAGGAATAGCTTGGCTTGTTGTGATGTCAATAAAACCCCTTATTACTTTTTAAAGCCTTCATTTAAATACTGTTGGTATTGGTCTCTGCAGTGCACCCAGCCTTTATTTCTTTTACACTGTCCTTTTATTCCTTTTATATTTATTTTTATACTTATATATTTATATATTTATGTAGATATATTTACATATTTATTTATTTATATTTATTTATATATTTATATTTATTCCTTTTATTATCCTTTTATTCCATTTATAGTCTTACACTGTGTTTTCTCTTCCAAACTGCTTTTTTGTATTTTTTTTCCCCTTGTGCACTCAGATAGATTTATTTACCTCTTAACATTAAAGTCTGTCAAGCAAGAGGAGTTGTGCAGAGAAAAGGACCTGTTTGGGTGTTTGTTTTTGATAACACTGTGAGCTGGAATTGGAGAAGTTCTGGTGAGAATAAATAGTAACTCCTGGGGGTTGGAAAGGGAGTCCTGGCCAGGGTTGGGCTCTGTGGCCCGTTCTCTTGGTGGGATTGGGATTAGACCTTCTCAGGTGCCGACTTGGATGTTCCCTGCACTTGGGGCTAAACTGATTATCAGACTTGAGGTCAAGAAAGTGTTGTTTTGTTTTGTTTTGTTTTTTTTTTTCTCTCCAGTTTTTCTCCAGAAGGTGTTTCCTGCGTCTCACTGTTAAATTTATAACTGGTGGCTTTTGCCAGAAGTTTTTAATTCAAAGGATTATTTTTTTTTTTGGCTTTATCACCTTCAATGCTGTGGAATATGTTAATGCTCTGTGAACTCTTTTGATTTGAACATTTGTGAAGATTTCCTGGGAAGGAGAGTCAAACCTAACTTATCCAGGTTTTTCTATTCTGGTAATATTATCCTGGAATGCCACTGGAGCATTCCTGACCAGCGCTGCCCACCAGCCCTGGAAGCTGAGGTAGAAAGGGTGGTAGGAAGTTTGGAGGTCGCTGTTGTGTTCCAAAAGATGCTTCCACACCTTCAGGAGTTATGACAAACAATAAGAAATTCTGATTCTCCGGTGTTTCTGGTTGATAACCTCGTTGGAAGGAGTAGCTGCAGTTGGACATTAAGGCAGAAACTTTTGTGGATGCACCTTGACTAAAATTCTTTCACTTCAGTCTTGTGAAATACTTGGGAGTCTCTGCCTTGGGTCATGAGGACCCTACTTGGTGTGGGAAGATTTTGTTTCCTACAGGGAGTTTTGCTCCATATGAAACACAAAAATTTAGCTTTAGGAACCACAACTGGTTTTGTTTTTCAGATTATTAATATTTTTTTTCCAACCAACCCTAGTTTGCAGTGTTACTTGTCAGAAAAATTCCTGCTAATCTCAGTGCTCGTGAGTTTCTGGGCAGGGAGGAGTGGTCTCTGAGTTACTGGGTTTGGGGTTTTTTTTGGGTGTAGTTCATTAAACAGTGGGTTGATGCAGTTACCACTGGAATTCAGGAATCCTGGAGTCATGTTTTTAAGTGTAGTACTCATTCAATAAACTAATAAGGGGACTGAGAAATGATTCTTTAATATTTGTGGCGGTGATTTGAGTTTTCTAAAGACACTTTGTAAGTGTTCTGCGTGTTGAGCTGACAGGGGAAGACGTTGCAGTTCATGACAGACCTGCCTAAAATGGACACACAGTGCTGGAAGATGGGCAAGTGCAACAAAAATTAATTGGATGCATTGCCATGAAGAAGCAAAGCCTTACAGATGGAGTGAGGGACAGCTTTAGACAGTGAACATGTGGCTTCTTTGTTACAAGGAGAAATATTAACGGATTCAAGGACTTGGCCAAATTTTTACTTTCTTTATTTCTTTACTAAATGATTGAGAATGGCAACAACGAGTAATAAAAACTCCTGGACGTTGTGTTGTCCTGCGTGTTCTGACAGCAGTGTTTCCTCTGTCCAGCTCTCTACAACTACGACGCCAGGGGACCCGATGAACTCTCCTTACAAATCGGGGACACCGTGCACATACTGGAAACATATGAAGGTAAGGTGGTAAAAATTCAATTAAAACCAGTATTTTTTTTTCCTGGCTGCATTCCTTTTCTGTTCATGACCTTCTGATGGGATCAAGTGGTGAATTGCTTACTTGGTTGTTTTTTTTTTTTTTTTTAAGGACAAACCCCTTTATTTCTAAAGAGCACAGAATTAACTGAGTGGAGCCACGTGTGGTCGATGACCTGGGGAATAATCATTTCCTTCTCTGGGGGAGATGGATGTTCACACCACTTTATTTGTAGGGATTAATTGTAGCTTCTACCCTGTGTTAGAGAAATGATAGATGCTTTTTGGATCCTCTCAGGTAATGGCAAAGAACCCGGTGCTAAAAGGAGTTGATTCCGAATTTGAAAGTCTCTCAGGTCCTAAATTATTTACGTCTCCCATGGAAGAAGGGCACGTGTTACAGTGCCCTGCACTGATTTCAGGCTTTTCCAGAGGCTCTTCTTGTTTTGATGTGCAACTGTAGGAATGTTCCCTGTACCAAAACCTTTCCTCCTTGATCCACGTAAAAGGGAATTGGAATGCTGAGTCTGATGATCAACAGGATGTGGAAATTGTCACAGCACTTTTCAGCTCTTAATTCAGCACTGAGCCAAGCAAAATAGAACTGTTTTATTATATCCTTGAGTTGAAATTTTATGGCAGGATGCAGTTTGGAAAGGTGTGAGTAACATGTAACTAATCTCTGTGTGGTTTAAAATCTTGTCGCTTCTTTTTTTGTGTAGAAACAGGATTTACTTAAATATACTGATCTATTTTTTTTCTCTCTAGACATTGATCTTCTGGGAAATCTGTGGGATAAATTCGGTTTAGATATTGGCTTAATTGGATTTTTTTATTATGATATTTATTGAAACAATGTTATTTCAACAAGAGTAACAAGCTCTGCTCATCAGTGTACAATGGAATTTTCTCGTTGTCCCTGGGCTGGCATTTTCTTGGAGTTGAGCTTTGCTGCTGCAGTGCCAGGTTCGACTCTGAGCAAAGCAGTGGTTCCCCTATCTGACGTTACAAGCTTTAATTAAAAAAAAAAAAAAATCTAATAATGCAAAGATTTGAAATGCAAACGGAATGGTTTAAATATCGCAGAGCTTTGCGCTTTTATATATAAATAGATTTATTTAATGAATGTGGGAGAAACTCTGAAACCATATCAAATGCTGACTGCTGCCAAGTAAGTGGGACAGTGGGGATGACTCACTTTTCCCCTGGACTGGAATAATAGGAAGACCTTCACACTCCTCTCAGGGCTTCAGGCACATGGGATGAGGTCATGTTGAAAGAAATGCAAATAAGTCAATGTTCTTCCAAACATGTTACACAGAGATTACTCATTAAGGCCCTGCTGTGATGGGAAATTAGATCCCATAATTCTTATCTCTCTTGTTCACAGAGCTGCCATTATTAGGTGATTATTTGAGCTTTTTGATCCTTGGTGTATAAAATCTGTGCAGATTGTGCCCCAGGAGGTTTCATCCACATCCAGGTGTGTGCCTGGGAACTCACCTGCCCTCAGTCCCATCCCACTGCTGTCCAGTCTCAAGACAACCCCCCCAAATTATGCGAGCGCGGGGCAGAAGAGTTTTTTGTAGACTCAGTAATTCCTTTTTACTGAGGATCTGGGATTTTGCTTCTCCCTTTTCCCTGTGTTTAAGATTGTGGGGGAAACAGCCGGCTTCTCACCTTGGATACCTGCTGTTATCTTACATTCTGCATCCTCCCACCCTGCTGGATGGAGATTTGTTACTGTTTTGAAAGAGTTCTCTGCAATAATTCTTCAGTTCAGAGTAGTTTTGAAGACTGATGTGTCTGTAGGCTTTGAAGTGATAGACTGTAGTTGGTATTTTTTTTTTTTCCTCTCCTCTGAATCTGCACTGTTGTCAAGGAAAGCTCATGGGAAACCCTTGCTCAGTTGGTTTTCTCTCTGCAGACACCAGAGGATGAGCAGCTGGGAGGGCTCAGCCCCACATCCATAGTGTGGAAGAGCTGGTTTAAGGACATTTTGCTCCCATATACTGGGATGGATTGCTGAGATGAGCTTTGACCGTGTGTGGGAAATAATATTTCCTTTTTAAACTATCAGTACAACTTATTTTGGAATTTGTTTTCATTACTAAATAAAAAAAAAACCTAACAGGTTAGATTTTAATCAAAAAATTGTGGTTTTTTTTTTCCCCCTCCAGAATGCAGGAAAAGAAGTGTTCTTTTTCACATACACATAATATGTGGATCCTGTAAATTTTGAGGCGTGGTGAGAACAGTGTGTGTTTTACAGGAGTTGGGAGGTTGGAAATGAACGTGCACATTGCACTGGTAAAGTTTGTGTTCTTCCAGGAACCAAAGTAAAGGTGAAGCTACTTCCTGGAGTAATTGTTGGTGAAAGTCAAATTAATATTTTTTCTTTCAGGAAGAATTTATGTAATTTATTCTTTGGTTAGAAAACTTTCTCTTACTTGTTCTAATGTGAGCCTTAAGGAAAGACCAAACAAAGCCATGTGAATTCATAAATATCCTTTATTTTGGAGCAGATAGCCCAAAACAGCTATTTGCCACATTCTGGTTTAGTACTTGCCAGATCTTTATTGTCCTAATTCTGTTATTTGTCCTAATTATGTTATTTGATGGAATGGGCAAACAAAACATGATCACTGAATGTGGCTTATTAAGGTGAATGCCTGTGAAATGTAAAAGAAAATAAACCTCAAAGCCAAGGTGGTGTGTTTGAGCATCAATTAATTTCTAGTGCTGGTGTGAGAAGGGAATTTATGTTTGGGTTCCCAAATACAGATTTTGAAATAAGTTTTTCCTGATACTTTGAGAAGATTTTAGTTCTCAGTTGCAGGTTTTTTTGTTGGATGTTTTTAAATGCAGCAAATACTTTCTCTGTGTGTCACTGCTTAGTAAAGAGATGCATCATTCAAGAGGAAGCAAATATTTGAATGTCTTTTGCAGCTTTAACAGAAAACAAGTATTTCACTGGTCTCTTTCCTTAGCTGAGCATTGATGTGGATCCTGTAATATTTGTTAAGGGTGAGGCCTGGCCTTGGACACTCCCAGGGATGGGGCAGCCACAGCTGCTCTGGGAAACCTGTGCCAGGACCTCCCCACCCTCACAGGGAGGAATTCCATCCCAATATCCCATCTAACCCTGCCCTCTGGCAGTTTGAAGCCGTTCCCCCTTGTCCTGTCCCTCCATGCCTTGTCCCAAGTCCCTCTCCAGCTCTCTTGGAGCCCCTTTAGGCACTGGAAGGGGCTCCAAGGTCTCCCTGGAGCCTTCTCTTCTCTCCAGGATGAACAGCCCCAGCTCCCTCATGTTTTTGGGTAGTTGATTAGAGATGACTTCATGTGTTTAAGTGGCATTGTGTGTATTCATGGCAAGCCCCAGTGCCTCCAGCTGAGTCAGTGAGAGCTGCACTGGAAATTTTGGCTCCCCGTTGCACAGCTCCAGGCTGGATACCCAGACCAGCTCCATCCGAGTGCCAGGGAGGAGGAGCCTGGTTGGACCTGCCTGGCCACACCGGGACCTGAGTGCAATGAGCAGGAGTGCAACCAGTTCTCCAAGGCGGATTTTGGCTGCTCTCTCATCTATGATCCCTGTGGCTCTTCCTGTTGGCTGCAGAACCCCCAGAAGCAGAGCTTCAGCCACGAGGAGCTGTCTTTGCTATGTGGATTTTAATCAGGGTGATGTCCTGAGGCAGCACAGAAGATGGGGTGGGAGAAGAGATACTGTATTTTCTCCAGTTGGTCCAGTGCATCTGGTCAGAGTTATGATGTTCAGCAGACTCTGGGACTGCAAAATGTCGGTTTATTCCTATAAAACGGAGGGAATTCAGTTATTTCCTAGGATTGGGATCTGTGTGTGGGTTTCAGCCAGTGGAGTTAACGGTGGCAGAAATGTTTTATCTTCTTTGCACCTGAGCCAGAAGCTGTGAGTGGTCGCTTCAGCAGCAGTTTTTGTTGATATTCCTCTGAAGGCAATGGAAATGTGAGATGTGAGGCCAGTGCAGCTCCTGTAGGGAAGTGAACTGTGGTGGCTGTAGACCCCAGATCTAAGAACCATCCCCAGGTGAACATGGGGGATGAGCTCCAGGTGGAGTGTGAAGGTGATGAATCACTTTACCTTTTGCTGCAGGAGAGCAGGTTGAAAAATCCCGTGTGCTTGAGCCTTTAATTTGTACTTCTAGTCCCAGAGTGTGCATAATGAATTTATCAGCATGTGTTGACTTCACTGAACTTTCTTCCTGCCCCAGCTGTTACTGGTTGCAATTTTTCTTCCACATTTGCTGTGTAATCTCTCCATCCTCACCCAGAGATGGATGCTTTGCTCTACCAAACCCCTGTTTGCATCCGGGCTCGGTTTTCCGAGAGGGCTCCTTGCTTTTATGTTTTGATGTGTGAACCGTAAATCACAAAGTATTCCTGTGTTCTGATGAGATGGCTTAAGGCTGATCTACATTTGAAAACTTGCAGTTGTGCAATTTCAAGAGGTTTTAAAATTGAACCAGTCCAACTGCAGATTTTTGTAAAGTTAATCCTCTTGAGGTGGTTTTGTTGATGTTGGTGAATTAGTAATCAAAATTAAGTGGATGGTAAATAAACACGTAATGTAAAACACATAATGTAAACATCCATCTCTGTCATGTCTTGTCCATCAGTTTGATCATCATCACTGGGATTTTTACAGCTTCCAAGATGACTTGTTTAATCCAGGATATTAAACCTGTAGAAAATTGGAATTCAAGTGGGATGTGCAGGGTGAAGCATCATCAGAAACCTCGGTGCTCGTGAGCTGGGAGGTGACATAAATGAACTTTTTAATTGCTTTTTCCCTCTTTCCCTCCTAGGTTGGTACAGAGGTTACACACTGAGGAAGAAATCCAAGAAGGTGAGTGTTGCCAGAGCAGAGTGGGCAGAGCCGAGTTCTGCTGGGCAGAGCTGAGTTCTGCTGGGCAGAGATGAGTTTGTGGCACTGGGTGTGTTGGTTTATATGGATCTTGTGTGCTGGTCACCACATGTCCACTGGGCCCTGATCACTGTGTTCCCAAGCTCTGGCCACTGCTGTGTGTATTCCCAAGCTCTACTCCATGTGAATTTTTCAGGGTTAAAAAAAAGACCCTGGCACAGGTTTGCCCAGAGAAGCTGTGGCTGCCCCATCCCTGGAAGTGTCCAAACCCAGGTTGGACAAAACCCATGCAGGGGGTGGAATCATTTGATTTTAGAGGTCCCTTCCAACCCAAACCATTCTAGGATTCTGTTTTTTGCAGTTTCAAGGTATATCAGTCACTACATGTGTTTTAATTGCACCATCTTGTTTTCTGCACTAACTGGTGTACCAAGTCTTTGACTCAGTAAAAAATCCACAACTTTATGTTCCAGTTGGTCTATTTAGGGGCTGACACTTGTTAAATAATGTGTTACAGGTGAAAGCCAACTGCATCTTGGAAAGGGACGTGGAGCTCTGCAATGGGATTTTTTTCAGCCCTTCTCTGGGAGAAGGGGAGGAATCTTCAGCAGTGTAATTTCGAGCAGCCTTTCTGAAAAATGAAAAGAAAGCAAACCACACAAATACTGGTTATAACATCGTGTTTCATTTTTTATTTTTTTTTGAGCATTTTACTTTGTAGTAGCAATTAACCAGATTTAAACATCTTCTGGTTTTGCCTCTCTTTTCACTAAAACACCAACAATCATGTTTGCCTCCAGAGGTGTGTTTTTAGTTGCTCTCTATATCTAAAAGTACAGAGCTGAGTTGTGTGGTTTGCTCCACCCATTTCATTACCAGGCCTGGTTTTCTGTTCTATTTTGATATTTTCTTTTATATTTTCTGGGAATACATTGAATTTCCTACAAACTGTGTTTTACAAATGTGCCTCGTGCAGCCTGAGAAGAAATTACCCGTTTTTCTTGGCTTAAATTTTAAGTCCACATGTTGCTGCACTTCTCTGACTGCCACTGAATGCAGTGATTTTTATTTATTCTTTTTTAACTGTGATGAAAAAAAAAAACCCAAACACCTCCCTCTGTCTGTCCTCCCCAGTGGCTTTCTAAGAATTCCTGTTTTTGCATTCCCATGGGATAAGAAAACTGAACTTCTACCTCGAAGGGCGAGGTGGAGGAGCTTGCTTTCCCAGCTTGGCTTGAATTATTTTTCTAATATGAGCTTGCATTATTTTGGAAACACAGCTGTGTTTGTGGAATCTTGATTAATTTAGAATATTTTTTTTCAGAAAGGCTGTGCTGTTGTTTTGTAGTATTGGTTGTTGCACTGGTTTTTGGTTTGTTGTAGTAGTAGCAATCGGCTGGTGGTAGGAGACAATTTGGGACCAGAAACAACATCTTGTAGCAGGGTAAGAAGGCTTGGTAAGATGTGAGAGAAAGCAAGGAATGGAGGTGGATTCTAGGCAAACAGTCATTTTTTTGGAGTAGATTATGCAAAATCATCTCTTTCACGCTGTGAGAAGGAAATCTGTCTTAATTTTCACCTGAATATAATGATCCAGGCACCTGGAGAATTGTGGCCAACTGGGCTTTTAATAGGGGAGGAAAAACCCCTCTGTGGGCCCCTCGTGACAGGGTGTCCCTGCTGTTGCCTTCAGTGTGGTGAAATTTAATTTAAAAACACTTGATCTGTAGTTGCTAAGGTTGCAACAGCACCTTCTTGAGAGGACTGGCAACGCAAAATTTAAATGTGCGTTAAAAAAAACAATCCCAGACGCAACTACTGGGATGTTGAGGAGGATGTGAATGGCTCGGTGGACCCAGCCGTGTCTTGGCATATTTTTAGGTAATAAACACAAGATGTTGTGTGCAACTGGTTATTTAACACATTTTTTTTTTTAATCTCCCCTCTCCCAGGGCATATTTCCTGCCTCCTACATCCATCTGAAGGAAGCAATCGTTGAAGGCAAAGGGTAAGTTTGGTTTGAAAATACCAAAAATCCCTTTTTCCTATTTGTGTGGGTATAATTTTGGTGTACTGACAAGTGACTTCAGACCTGTTTCTGGTTAGTCAAGAGCTGCTGATGAAAATGTGTGCGTTTTGGTGTTTAAAATGTCTTAAATTATTAACTGACCTCCCGTGGAAGGTGGTGTCACATCAGCAGAGCTGGAAGGGCTGCCTTGAGCTAAAGCATAACCTTCTCTCTATTCGTGGAATTAATAATTTATCATTTCTCTTTATAACTTTTATTACTATCTAGACTAATAATTACTCAGATTAACTTGCTCCATTCCCTGCCTTCTGCTTTAGTCCAGTGTCAGCTTTCCCAGCTTCTTCTATCTTGCAGCCCTTGAGTCTTATGGCTTCTGTCTTGTTTATAAAGAGGCCTTTGATATGAGACACCTTCCTTTTATGCACGTGAAATTTAAGTAATTTCTTAATTCTTCTTCAGTTCATCTTGTAGACCGGTCTCCTTGCTGAAAATAATTATCCAGGCATTGTTTTTTGCCTTACTGAGAAGTTATTTTGTGTCCTCTTCCCATCCCTGGCGTGTACCACACTAAGTATTTGAGCTGCATTTATTATTTAACAGCTGTTCAGACCCTTATATATCCAATCAGCTTTGCTGGACATGCACGTAAAAGTTTCTAACATTGATATCAAGTTCAGTTAAAAAACAGGAAAAAAACCCCAACCAAATCCCAGAGAAGAAAAAAAAAATGGAGTGAAATTATTAAATAATTACCCAGGTATGAAATGGAGTGAAACAGGATTAAAATATTTTATTCCTTTGTGCCTAACTTATTTTTACACGCTGTTAAATATGTAAATGATCAAACTTCTAATCATGAGATTGCTGCATAATGACATCTTTCTCCCTGATTACAAAACTGCCTTTAAGTACCCTACTTTGGAAATATTAAAAGGTGTCTAGTTAGTGTTTCTTACTTTCCTGGGACACAATTTTAAAACAAGTCACGCAGAAAATTTTGTGGTACGAACTTGAACGCCTGAGTTTTCATTGCGAGATATTTTGAGGTAAAAAAAAACCATTACAGATGAGTGTTGTTGCACTGCAGGTTGTGTGTATGTGGGTTTTATCTGGCTTGCTTCTGGTGAAATAAATGTGTCAGTAATAAATAATCTGGTGAGGTGTGTATTGATATCCTTGTGAACTGGGAAATGGGGAGAGGGTGGGAGAAGTTCACAAGGACATGAAGTGATAGGACAAGGGGGAATGGCCTTAAGCTGAAGAAAGGAAGGTTTGGATTAGGTATTGAGAAGAAATTGTTCCCTGTGAGGGTGGGGATGCCCTGGCACAGGTTGCCCAGAGAAGCTGTGGCTGCCCCAGCCTTGGAAGTGCTCCAGGCCAGGTTGGACGGGACTTGGAGCAACCTGGGCTGGTGGAAGGTGTCCCTGCCCATGGCAGGGGGTGAAACTGGAAGATCTTCAAGGTCCCTTCCAGCCCAAACCATTCTGTGATTCCACAGTCTCTGCCCATCCAAGTACCTGTTATGTTGTGTGCCTGTACTGGTGTTTACCACTTCAGTATCTCACAACATCACCTTTTTGCTTATAAATTTGTAGTAAATTATGTTATTTTCAACCCTGTATTATTGTCTTTGGAAATGAACAGTTCCCTCCTAGGAAGGATTCTAGATTAGACGATATAGATTGGGTATCAAGATAAAAATTTTCACAGGAAGGGTTGTCCAGCACAGGCAGTGGTGGAGTCACCTTCCCTGGAAGTGTTTGAAACGTGTGTGGGTGCAGCAGTTGAGGACATGGGTTAGTGATGAACATGGTGATGGTGCTGCTGGTCGCACTCGATCTTAAAAGTCTTTCAGACTTTAATTTTCTGTGATTCTGTGTTCTCACTCAAAGCTACTACTTAATTCAGCCTTTTTTTCCCTCCTCCTCCTCAGCCAACATGAAACAGTGATCCCCAACGAGCTGCCCTTGATTCAGGAGGTCACCACTACGCTCCGGGAATGGTCCATAATATGGAGGCAATTATATGTTGTAAGTTACAACTTGGGCAAACATTTACACTGGGAATGGTTGATGGACAGAGTAGTGCTGGGAAAGGGGAAGAAGGAAGGAACTATTAATGATGAAGGGAGTATTAATGGAATTCCCCTTCTCTTACTGTTTCCAGTGACTAATTGTAGTACTGAAAAGCTCTTCAGCATCTTCTCTGTTGAAGCAAAAATCTCTTTAGTGATTCTCTGGCGTGTTTTCCCAAATCCCATGTATTTCTTGTGCAGAATCAGTTTTTTAGAGTGTTACCTTGATCTAGGATTAATTTGTAAAGCAATTATGACCCATTTTGCATGGAGGTTCTGTTATACAGAATGCATTGGATTTTTAAGATGTAGACAGATTTGAAATAATCTAATATATAATTACTAATTAAGAAAATGGTTTTCAGGACAGTTCTTAAGGCTGTCTGTGTTATGAGGTAAATGAATATTTCATGTTGAATTTGCAGGTGTAAACTTAAACATTTGTAAAATCGTCACTGTAGGCCTTTTTCCTCTCAGTATTTTTGTACTTGAAGTTAATTGTTCCCAATTAATTCCCACTTTAAGTTACACACCTGATTATTTTCATGTGCTAAGGTTCCAAGCACATGAGAACATATTCTTAGAAATTTATAGTAATAAGCATTGATAGTCTCTGGGATGGGAAAACAGGAAAACACACATGAAAGTGCAAATAAGTAAGGTCAAGAGTTTAAACTGACACCTAAAAGTGCAATTCAGATGCGAAGCAACACCTGCTGTGAGATTTAAGGTGCCCTGGCTCAGGCTTCTCTCATTGTGCAAGGTCACTGTAACAAGATAATGGGAACATGCAAGTCTTTTATTTAAAGTGGGATTTAATTCAGAGTCTGTTTCCCATAAATGTGTTTGAAATCTTCTATCATAAAAGTGCACGCCGGGTAATGAAGGCACCAACTGGAAATGAAGATGTTTGTGTTGACTAATGTGGTTTTTAATCACACCCATGAAAATAAAGATTAGAAATACAGTGTAATGGAAATGATGCAGTGTTGCAGAATAAAGGATGAAGGATAATATCTTACATGAGGAGAAGCAGATTGGATATTAAAGAGAGAGCTTGAACATGATGTTATATTAGAGAGGTTGTGCTGAGGAGCAGGGAAGAGGTAGGGAGGTGGAAATACCAGGAGGAACAGAGTCTGGGGAGGGCACTGAGAACAGCCTTGCCCTTGGTTCCACTGCTGTAGAATCATGGAATGGTTTGGGTTGGAAAGGACCTTAAAGCTCCTCTCATTCCACCCCCCTGCCATGGGCAGGGACACCTTCCACTAGCCCAGGTTGCTCCAAGCCTTGTCCAACCATTGTTAGGAGTTTTCTTCCCATGACGTGCGTGCTTTTTTTAGTAGTAAATGTTTTCCTTGCTGTTAAATTTTAACATCTCATTTGTCAGCCATTTGTTTCCGTGAGCACACGACAGCTACACCTTTTGGAGTGAGTCCAGAAGAGGTCATGAAGTTGATTAGAGGGTTGAAGCATCTCTCCTACAAGGAAAATCTGAGAGAATTGGGAGCCTGGAGAAGAGAAGGCTTTGGGGTGAAATAATTGTGGCCTTCTAGGACCTGAAGGGAGCCCACAAGAAAGATGGGGAGCGACGATTTACAAGGGCCTGGAGTGACAGAACAAGGGGGAATGACTTCAAACTGACAGAGGGAGTTGGTTTACATTGGATTTTAAGAAAAAATACAAGGCAGCCCCTGGCACAGGTTGCCCAGAGAAGCTGTAAATGCCCCATCCCTGGAAGTGTCCAGGGTCAGGTTGGACAGGGCTTGGAGCAACCTGGGATAGTGGAAGGTGTCCACTGCAGGGGATGGGACTGGATGGGTTTTAAGGTCCCTTCCAACCCAAACCGTTCTAGGAGTGTGATCCATCCTAAACATTACTTGAGTGCTTTGCTATTAGTTTTGGATTCAGGTTGTGCCAGTGGCCTCAGTTCAGTAGCAGAAAGGGTTCCAGTCCCTGTTACAATTTACTCTGGGCAGGTAGGTCACATAATGAGTTGGTTTATAGTTTGTATCTCAGGGATATCTGTTGGATTAGTTGCATGTGGTCACCTGCCAGAAGGAGCACTGGTGCAGTGGGATTGCTTTATCAGGGGGGCTTTGTTTTACTGGAGGTAGCCGGTTTCAAACTGGGTAATCTGCAGACTACATGGGTATTCCATGTTGTCCATATCCTGCATATCAAAAACCATTAAATGGGCACATTTATGCCTTTATTCACTTTGTAATTCGGGTTTAAATATTGAATGGATACTCATTTTTCATTTTCACAAAGCAGAGGATGTGGCATGTTTTCCCTCTCGCCAGTTTAGGATTGCCTGCAGCACTGAAAATCAGGAACCACTTTCCCATTTGGATTTGTCTGTATTTAGCTCCCAGCCATATGTGCCTGTTGTGTCTTTCTCTGCTACATTAAAGAGCTTTTAATAATGGGTATTTTCTCTCTGTGGAGGTTCTCCCACTATAATCAAGGCAGCTTTTGGATAATCTGAACAGACTGAAGTCTCCAAGTTTCACAGTTAGATATCCTTTTTCCCAGAGTCTTGGAATCATTATGTTCTTTTTCTGCATCTTCTGCAGTTTTTCTTTGTCTCTTATATATAGTAGGGAATTTTACTGTAATTATTTAATTATTCTTAGCTTAGCTGAGTGTTTCCAAGAGAAGTTTGTATATGCTGCTGGCGCTATTTAATATCCACAGTTCCAGGCTTTAAAAATAATTTAGGTGTTTAACTTCCTATGAGGTTAAATGCTTTGCTGGTTTTTCACTGCCTTTTAGCTGTTACCTATGGACTTGCAAGATACTGATGTACTTGGCTTTGCACCCTGAGGGATTTTAAAGTGTTGTTCTGAAGGCTGAACTGGGGAGGGGAAGGATTCTCCAGCTTGTTGCAGGTGGATTTTTGGAGAACTTGAGCCTCTTGCTGTTAAAATGCCCCATTTTTAGTTTTGCTCAGGACAGAAAGCGATTGAATAAATTTATGTGTGATTATTCCCCTTGAATGCCTGAATACATCATGATGCAGGTTTTAAAGTGTCACAAACACAAACTTTTACACCTATTTAGAGCCCTAAAGCTGAATGTCAGACTCTCTGTATGCAGCGTTCTGTGCTGCAGAAAAATTAAGCTATTTTAGGGCTGTTTTAGACTTTTACCCTTTATATTCATGTTTTGTAATTGCAGTTAATTCTGTGTATTTAAAGGGATACTTCAGGACTAACTTCTGCCCCTCTCTTCCCTCCAAACAGCAGGACAACAGGGAGATGTTCCGCAGCGTGAGGCACATGATTTACGACCTCATTGAGTGGAGATCCCAAATCCTATCCGGGACCCTGCCCCAAGATGAGCTCAAGGAGCTGAAAAAGAAAGTGACTGCCAAAATTGATTATGGCAACAGGTTTGTGAACAGTGTTTTCCCAGTTTTTGTGCTTTCATTCTTGTGTTTATGGAGATGTGATAGTTTTATATATTAACATCTCTGTTAAAGCAACATAAAAATGCTGCATCAACTTCAGTCTTTATAATATGTCAAAGTGGAATCCACGTATCTCCCTCATGGTGATATCATCAATTTGATGCTGGTATGAATTTGTGATTTTTAAGGGCAATTCAAAAGTGCAAGTTTTGCTTCCATTCAAAATATAAATTCAGCTCCCCTTGCTTCTGCAGCCTAAAGAGTTGTCACCCTCTCAGCACCACCAGCTGTGTGTGCCCTGGAGTCACTCAGCTTAATGTGATGGTGAAGGATTTGGCTCAGAAACATCATTTAGCTCAGTGTTCCTCTATTTCCATAGTATCCAGCTGGTAGCAGAACATTAACAGACAGATTTCATAAAAGGAAGTATCTGTTTAGCAGAAGAGAATTGAAGTTGGGAAGAAAATATTGGCCTAGACCTGTAGTTTGCATATATTAAGTATTTGAATAATGTATTCTCTCTGCAAACAGTCTGGATTTAAGCATAGGGTTTTTTTTTAAATAAAAGTTTTAGGATACAAATTGTCTGTACAGTTATAACTTTGCATTTTGATCAAATATGAGAAATCTCGTGTTGCACTTGAGTCAGGGCATTATTTGAAGCAGTGAATTGAACACTGAGAGAGAGATCCCATTCTGTGAGATCCTGTAGTCCTGCACGCCTGGGGACTGGAAAAGTTTTCACCAAACCAGTCTTTAAATCCTTTGTGATGCAAATATCTAATCAGATTTTAGCTATTTATATTAAATTCCTTAAGAACTGCCGCATTTGCAGTATTTGTTTGTGTACTTTATCAGCAAAAGCTGGGATTTTAAAAAAGAAGAAAGAAATTAAAGAAATAGTGACTGCATTCAGTCAGTAATTATCATTTATAATCCGAGATATGGGTGGCTGTACCTCTGTACACAATTAACCAGATGTTGTTGGTATTATTTGTTTGGCTACTGTATTTTACCATCTGTCCAAGGAGTTGGTAAAAGTTACTTTGAATAACCTCCAGATGCTCAGCCTTCAAACACAGTGGAACATCTTGTGCTGTGCTTTGTATTCATAGTGTTCTGATGGACTAATTAAGTGATCAGAACGTTCTCTGGGGGGTGCAGGAGGGAGGTGAATTCCAACTTCTGAGTAAATACTCACAGCTGAAAGATAACATATGTTTCTAATAGTCCCACATTTACTGTGTCTAAAAGAGGCATGAATGGTGATTTCAGTGTCCAGACAGAGTGAATTCATTTTGTGTTTTTATAAATACCAAATGATCTTTAAGGTCTCTTCCAGCCCAACCCATTTTAAGTGTTTTCTGTTCTGGTCATAACCCAAACTCTTCCTGATTTGTAAAATACTGATTTGTAAATAAGATTTGGTTTCTGTAAATACAGCCAAAAAGTTTTTGTTACAGCATGTTGTCAGAATAACTGAGGAAGTAAAAATGGCCTTAGGAATCTGTATTTTTAATATCTTTCTGAAATTGGGTCAAGTAATTTTGTTGTGAAAATGGAGGGTTTTTTTTTTTTTGTTCAGTTGCAAAAATCTGTAACTGGGACGCTTAGGAAAAAAAAAAAATCCCAGATTTTTTTCCAATCATCATTTGCAAGTTAAAGGATGAAACAAAGGAATTGAATCGAAGTGTTTGCTTTGACTTTTTTGACGGTGTGTGCAAACGTTCTTGTCCCATTGGTGTGTAGGCTGGGTGATTGAGCCTTCCTCTGAATTCCCGAGGTACCATTTCCTCTGCTCCAGGCAGTTCCTCCAGTGGAAGGGCCCTGCAGGACTGGCTCAGTGGGTGTATCCCCTGCTGTGGCTGCTGGCCAGGGAACAGTAGTAGGGAGGAGCAAGCCTGCTCTTCTGTTTGGTTTCAACGGTGAAACCGTTTTCTCACTAAAAAAAAATTCATCTGGGAGTTTGATGTTCCAGGGATGTCTGAGTTTTATGGTGGCTGCGACCAGTACAGAGAAGAGCTTGGGAGGTGTTGCTTAAAAATCTGCTGCCTTCGCTCTGCAACTGGAGTGATGATTCTCTCTCCTTGAGTTAATGCAGTGCAATTAATTGGAGGGGTTTGTGTGTTGACCCTGCTCAAGGCTTGAACACCTCAAGGCCTCCCTCTGTGCAGGGAGAGGTGAGGAGGGATCCTACAAGCCCATGAAACACTTCTTTGTCTGCCCCAGCTCCTGTTCTTTAAGTCCTTTCTGTCCAAAGGGGATTTACTTCCAGATAAACTATGAGCCTCTGAGTGAATGATCAGACACAGCAAATTTGGTTTAAGCTCGTTGATCAAACAGATTTCAAACCCACAGTTAGAGCAGCTCCATCATGGGAGCTGAGTGCAGGGTTAGAAGGAGAAAACAGGCACCAGGTGGATTGGGATGGAGGTGAGGAGGGTCAGTCTTAGGGAGAGGACCTGATTTGTTTAATCCTTGGTTCTGCTGGCAGCACTGAACTGACCTGGAAAAATGGGAAAGGTCTGTCCTGAGACTGGATTTGATTATGGCAGAAACCTTCCTCTCTGCAGAAGGTAATTGTGGATGTTAACACCCTGCTGACACGAATCTGGCTTCTCCTTTAAATAAAGGGAAGCAATTCCTGCCTGCTTGGATCTCATAGGGTTTGGGAAAAACAGGAATTCGCTGCTTTGGAGGACAAAGTGGAGTGGGATGGGATGAAAGGAACTGCCTGTGATGGTACTGTAGCAGTTGGTTGTTCAGTGGTGAATCAGGGGAGGAGACAGAACCTCTTGCAAATTTAGTCGTTCAAGAAATGACTTCCCCAGCTGTTCTGCTGTTTCATTTACATCAGTTCTCTCTGTGCTGTGGGAATAAGTGACTTCCAGCCAGGAATGCTTATCTCCACTGTTGGTGACATGTTAAATTACATTATCATGTATCAGATAATGTGTTTTTTCTCTCATATGTCAGGTGTGCAAGTTAAACACTTGGCTGGTGATTTTTAAGCCTTTATTTTGAGCGCTGTTAATTCACAAGCATATTTTCTTGTTTGTTTAGAATTCTTGATTTAGATCTGGTGGTCAGAGATGAAGATGGCAACATTTTGGACCCAGAGCAGACCAGCACCATCAGCCTTTTCAGAGCACATGAAATAGCTTCCAAGCAAGTTGAAGAGAGGCTGCAGGAGGAAAAAGTAAGATATATTGAGCACTGTGGCTTTTCCCTTTCAACATAAGACTGTAAACTAATTGGATGACTGTTGTTTTTAGCAGTGGCAATGAGGAATTTGATATTTTTGTGAAGAGTTATCAGGCTTAAACATTTTTGGAGACCTTGTCTGTCTTAGGCTGTCTTTTTTATCTCCCTTTAAAGGATTTATGGTTGAGATCTGTAAGTTTGTGGGAAGTAGAAATTGTGCTGTTTCCTTTCCTGTCTGTCTTGGTGCTCTGTACCTGTCAGAGAAACAGCAGGCAAAGCAAGGAACGAACTTCCTGGGTTTTGTCAGGTATATTTAAGGCTCCATTTTCTCCTCCATATGTTTAACTCTCTTTTTAATAACTGAAGACATCTCTCTTCCCTCCTTTTTTTCTTTTACTCTCCTTATGGCGTGTGGCACTTGAAGGCAGATCCAGAAAACACTGTCATAAATCCTGATATAAACAAAGATCATGGGAGCAGACACTCAACAGAAAAACCTTCTTCTCTCTTAAAAGCTTTAGGAAAGTTTTATAGCAGTAGAATATCTGTTAGGTTGAGTTAAACTTTTTATTTTCTTCTGTTCTTGAATTGCAGTCTCAGAAACAGAATATCGATATCAACAGACAAGCCAAGTTTGCTGCCACCCCTTCCTTTGCTTTATTTGTAAATTTAAAAAACGTGGTCTGTAAAATAGGAGAAGATGCTGAAGTCCTCATGTCTCTCTATGATCCACTGGAATCAAAATTTATCAGGTTAGTGGATGCCTCAGTGTAAGCCCTAAGCTGTGCTTACTCAGTTACGGTAGTGAGGTGGTTTTGGGGCTCATGAAAGTCAAATTTCTGTGAACGGCGTAGACAAGTCCCCGGGTACATCTCAATTCCAGGATTGTGCTGTTCCTCATCAGGCTGTCCTGTGGTTCCCCAAGAGCAGACCTCGTGTGAGAGGTGAACACACTGGCAAGGTGTGAGCCCTCCCTTAGCTGCAGAAAGTCTCACTCTGTTGCCGAGGAGTTGTTTTCTTCGTAAAAGTAATATACACTAAGGGAAGTGCCAGCTCTCCACTGCACATTCGCTTGTTCAGGGATAAGCAGATGGGGTTTAAAAGGGTCTCCTGTGAATCCTGAAGTTGATTTTATCTGCTTATGTTAAAGGGCGTGCCGTGATGGGACAAGGGCAAATGGCTTTAGGCTGAAGGAGGGCAGGGTTAGACGGGATATTGGGAGGAAACTGTTCCCTGTGAGGGTGGGCAGGCCCTGGCACAGGTTTGCCCAGAGAAGCTGTGGCTGCCCCATCCCTGGAAGCGCCCAAGGCCGGGTCGAACGGGGCTCAAAATGCTGTTGTTTTTTTTTTTTTTTCCAGTGAGAACTACTTGGTGCGCTGGTCGAGCTGTGGGCTGCCCAAGGACATCGACAGGCTGCACAACCTCCGCGCCGTGTTCACCGTGAGTGCCGCCCGGCCCTGAGGGCGCCGCTTTGGGAGCTCGGGGGGTAATGGCGGGATCCAGTGATCTGTGTGGGGTTACCTCACAAATCACACCTCTGTGGGGGGGCTTCCTACAAAAAGGCTGGAAAGGGACATTGGGCAAAGGCATGGAGCGCCAGGACGAGGGGGAATGGCTTCCCAGTGCCCGAGGATGGGGTTAGATGGGATATTGGGAAGGGATTCTTGGCTGTGAGGGAGGGCAGGCCCTGGCACAGATTGCCCAGAGAAGCTGTGGCTGCCCCATCCCTGGAAGTGTCCAAGGCTGGACTGGATGGGGCTTGGAGCAACCTGGAATAGTGGAAGGTGTCCCTGCCCATGGCAGGGGGTGGAACAGGATGAACTTTAAGACCCAAACCAGTCAGGGATTCTGTGCCGGCAAAGGCTCACGTGAGACATTTCCCATAAGTGATCGACTAAACGTTCTCAACACCAGGCTAAAACCGAAACTGCTCTTTGAATTTTTAACTTAAGAGAAATGGGTTGCCCTCCAAAGCAATTAATTAACAGAGAAGTCAAGATAAGATGTTCATATACTATAACAAAAAACACTTTGCCCTGATGCCAGAGGCTTGCACGGCGAAGGCAAATTCTGGGCAGCAAACCTTCTGCCTACAGAAGTGGAACTTGAAATCCAATTATTATGAAGTAACCTGGTGAAACTACTCTTTCTAGGACCTGGGCAGCAAAGACCTGAAGAGAGAGAAAATCAGTTTTGTGTGTCAGATTGTAAGAGTTGGCAGAATGGAGCTGAGGGACAACAACACCAGGAAACTCACGTCGGGACTGCGGAGACCTTTTGGGGTGGCAGGTAGCCGTGCTGGATCTGTCCACGTCATGCCTTGCCCAGAAATTGGGCGTGTGAGACTCCTGTGGGGGTTGTATAAACTCAGAGTTGTTCCAAATGTAATCAGACTGATGTATCAGAGGAATTACTGCGGCTTCCAGGACTCGTGTGGGAGGTGCCAAAGGTTATTTCCAACATGTTGTTATTCCATAGGGAAATTCTGAGATTACATAGTTAATGTAATTAACTCTTCTGGGTCACTGTTGCCTATAGTACCTCGGGGTATTCCCTTGGCACCCCTCTTCCCACGTTGATCCCTGAATTCAGTACCCTTTGTTTTTCTTTGCAGTGATGGACGTTACTGACATAATTAACGGGAAGGTTGATGATGAGGACAAGCAGCACTTCATCCCATTCCAACCGTAAGTAGGAAAGAGTTTAAAGAATAGCAGAAGGGAAAATATTAAGAATGTAGCTTTGTTTTTTTTTTTTTTTTTAAATAGTTGATATTTTGAAGTTAATTTATTTAGTGAGGTATTTTATCTTGAGTAGTACTTGCTAATATATCTTCTTGATAATTTCCCGTTAGTCTTAACAGCGTTAGTCCCAAAAACTTTTGGGGTTCCATAAGTTTGAGTTTAAAGCCTGCATTCTCAGATTTGTTTTGTTTTTATTTAAAGATGTCAGGGTGATAATGAGTAAGAGGTGAAACACTTAAGATAAGTTCATTCTGAGTTTGCCTCTGCCTGAGATGGACAAAGGCCAGCAGTGTCACCAACATCCAGTGCAGGTGACTTCTGTGGAGATGTAGCAAATGACAAATTTAGCAAATTTCCTTGGTAGGAGATAGAATTTCACAGCCACAGTAGTGAGAATTGAAACAAAAACTGGGGATTTGAAGGATGGCTTGATAAACCCCCTGCAATATCTTCTCATAATTCAACTTTATCATGCAAGACTTGTACCAGAAACCTTACATATTTTGGTGGTTGGTGAGGGAGAGGTGGTGTCTGCTGGATACAACTCACAGAATCAGGGAGACCAATGTCTACACTGACTTGGTCTAAATTCTAGTTATCTAAAACCACAGACCTTCCCACACTGACTCTGAGCTTGTTGACATGGAATATAGAGATATGTGCAGAGAAGGTGCTTTTAGAAGCAAAAGCTTATTAACAAATGAGAATGTGTGGGAAATACTCTGTTCCATCCATAGATCACAGGGGTTTTTATTGTTCAGTGAAGCAAGGAAAGGTAGAAGGATAAAGCAAGTAAAAGTGCATAAAATGTGGGTGTTTAGTTTTCCCATTGTGGGAAATGCTGGAGTGCCATCTGTTCCAAAAGGCAAAATGTAGTTATGGGACCTAAATTCCTTGATTAATACACTATGGTATGCAGAGGGGGTTTAATAATATTAAAAAGAAAGGAAGCTTGAAATAACGTTATCTCAGATCAACTTTATTTTGAAAAACAGGCCTATTTTGGGTAGCCCTTGTGGTTTGAAGGTGTAGGGCTGGTGAGAGTACTGCAAGATGGCAGGTGCTGCAGAAGGTGTTAATGAGAAAATCAAAGTACAATTCCATTTTGCAAGGAAACCGTAGGTTTTTAGGGAAGAGTAGCATATGGTTATTGGGAGGTAAACAATAGCAAGGTTATTTTTTAGTGAGGGTGGAAGTAAGCAAGGAAAATGAACATTTGTGTCTCCAAGTGGATGCCAATGGAACATCTAGTTTTCTGCTCCATTAGCACTGATTCATGTTTTTCCTGTGTAGACAAATCAGATTTTTGGAAAAGATGTACAATGTGATATTTATTTTTTTTGGTTCCTTTCCCCCTGTAATAAATTAAAACATCCTTCTGAAAAAAGTATGTTCCAAAGAGCACGAGTAACGTGGAATCGCACTCTGAGCGCTGGTGTCGTTATTTCCAACTTAGGCTTCTGCTGTTCACATGAGCCACATTTTTCTCCTCATTCCATGCTTTGTTTCTGTTGTACCACACACAATTCTGTTTTCATATCTTTGTTTGTTTGTATTCATTCACTGGCCACCGACACAGTGGCTGTCAAAAAGCACTTGGCGAGATTACTTCAATGCCACTAAACTGCTGCTGTTTATTTACAGTTCCCATCTTTCCCTTCATTCCCCCTGAGTTTAACAGAATGTTTGGGGTATCTGCTCTTCTCCTCCTTTTCCTGTGAGATTTATGGCAGCTTTTCCTTCAGACACCCTGCACTGCTGCTTTACCTGTGGAATGACAGAGGTGACCCTGGAGGTGTTGCAGGGCCAGCCTGCTGTATAAATGTATTTATAATAAAGGGAAAACTGCCTGTGTGGGTTTTCACTGCTTAACTGGGGGTTCTGAGGGGGGGAGGCCTTCCTCCCCTCCCAGAGGAGGGCAGTGGGTCTGTGCATGTCCCCGAGGGGAGCAGTAACATGGCAGGTGTGCTGTACTCTCTGGTAGACCAGCGTTCTTCTGATTAATGATCTCCCTCTGTCTTTCTTGTCACCTTTCCTGTCCTCTGTCTTGCGTTGACTAATAAACACTCTCTGTCACGACTACGACACGATCTTCTGTGTTCCCTTGTCACTGTGACTCCTGGTTTTCTGTGCCCCTTTGTTTCCTGGTGTTGGTCGTCATGTGCATCCTCCAGGCTAGCGTTGGATGACGCCATTCGACACAAGCAGCTGAACATATCATCCCGTTTTTCACCCAGGGTGGCGGGGGAGAATGATTTCCTTCAGACTGTTATAAACAAAGTGATTGCTGCTAAAGAAGTCAACCACAAGGGTCAGGGTAGGTGCCTTTCTTTAATCTACACCCCTGTACCCTAAAAGCGCTCGGCTCCCGATTTGTGACGCGATGATGATTTGAATTTTACTTTTTCGCTGCCCTCTGGCTTGTTTCTCTCTTCCCACCTTCCTGATATCCCCCCCTGCCCCACATCTTTTCCCCCTGCCCCGTGTGGACTCTACAAGTTGTATCACTGTTCATCTCTTGGATATCTTCATGTTTCTACTGGAGCTACTGGAGAGGGTTCAGGGGAGGCCACAGAGATGATGAGGGGTCTGGAGCATCTCTCTTATGAGGAGGGACTGTGGGAGCCAGGCCTGTTTAGTCTGGAAAAGAGGAGGCTGAGAGGGGATCTCATCAGTCCATATAAATACCTCCAAGGGGTGTCAGAGCATGGTGTCAGACTCTTCTCAGTGGTGCCCAGTGGCAGGATGAGGAGCAATGGCCATAAACAAAGACACAAGAAGCCCCACCTTAACATGAGGAAGAACTTCTTTCCATGGAGGGTGGCAGAGCACTGGAACAGCTGCCCAGGGAGGCTGTGGAATCTCCCTCTCTGGAAACTTTCCAAAACCACCTGGATGTGTTCCTGTGTCACCTGCTGCAGGTGATCCTGCCTTGGCAGTGGGTTGGACCGGATGATCTGCAGAGGTCTCTTCCAACCCCAGCAATTCTGTGATTCCATAGTGGAAATTATGACTCAGGAGTCGGCTGTTGTGCCCTTGAGCTGTGGATTTTGGCCTCCTCATGTCGAAGGAAGGGATATTTTTTTCTCTTCCTTCTCATCCTTTGCCCGGTTTTCCCTGCTCTGCAGCTGCACTTGCACCATTTGGCTCCCTCCCAGGCAGAGCAGGGCACTGTTCCTGAGCTTGCAGGTGGTGAGGGTGGAGCCTGAGCCCTCCGAAACCTTCTGTGGTACCTTCTCTTAGGGGCTGCTCAGAATTCAGTGTGCACAGCTGACATGAAGCTCAGCTTCTGAAGTCTGGGCTGGTTTATTTTTGTGTGTATACAGAACTTTGTGATCTGTCCAGTTATTACTGGCTTCGATATTTTCCCAGAATTCTGGATTAATACAAAGTTATGCAAACTAATGCAGAGTTTTCCCCAAACACTGTGTGTTTTACTGTATCACTTAAGGCACAGCTGCACAAGAGACCTGAGGAAGATTATATACTTTTTCCTGATTTTTTTTTTTTAAAACTAATTAATAGCAGATAAAAACTACATAAACCTTATTTTTAAATTATCCTTGAGCCGAAGAGGAAAATTTAGATCTGCTTTTCCTCCCCTTGCTTTCACATCCAGCCGGTGTGTGTATGAGAGAGTAGGAAACATTTCAGCTTTTTGGATTCATTTCAGATTCCTTCCCTAAAAAGAAAATAAAAAAAGCCCAAGGAAAGAGGGAAAGATTGAGTTGTTCCTTAGCCAGTCAGTGCAGTTACAGCTGCTGTTCAGTGAAATAGCTGCTGTCAGAACCATCTCTGGCAACAAGTCAGCACAGAGCCTTTTACAGAGATACCACAGAAGAGACAGCAGGCTGCCAACTGTGTACAAAATGAATGTGCAGTTAATTGTGGAACGGGATAACCCACAATTTCTTACGTAGCTGAATATTTTTGGGGTGTTTTTTCCTAGATTTTTAATTTGAGGATTTTCCTCTGCAAATTGCTGCTGTGATTATTTCCTGCTTAAACTTGATTGCCAGTCACTTTACCAAGTGAAAGACTTTTTTGAGGTTGGAGGTTTTTTTTTATTTTTATGGGTTTTTTCCACTTTGGCATCTTTCTTTTTACTGTACCAAGTGTGCCTGATGTTAGTTGGCAGAGCAGGAGCTTTTTAGTGGCTTCTTATGCTTCTGAAGAGAAAAATATCAACTGTGTAAAGCTCATGCTGTAGATTTCTCTGTGTTCAGAGGAGTAAAAAAACAACTTACGGGGTAGTGGTGATGAATCAGTTTGGGGTAGGGATTTGCTGGTTATTCCTTGGTTATAATACTTTATTTTTCCATGCAAATCATTGTTCCCCCTTCTCTTTTTTTCCAGTTCAGTTTCATTAGAAACACTGGAGCATAATCAGACATGCCTATGAGTGCTTTGCTCATATTTTTGCTTGAAGTGATGGGATTTTTTTGAGATTTTTAAAATACTTGGTGTCCTAAATGTTATCTTAATGTATCTTATTTTAATGTTTTTCAATTTGTAAAAAGAAATCTTTGGGAACAAATACCACCAGTTTAATAATTGTGGGTGGTTTTTTTTTTTTTTTTACACAACAGGTTTGTGGGTGACTTTGAAACTTCTTCCAGGAGATATCCATCAGATTAGGAAGGAGTTTCCACACTTAGTGGACAGGTCAACAGCTGTGGCTCGGAAAATGGGCTTTCCTGAGATTATTATGCCTGGTAAGCCAGTGTGAATGAACGCTTTGTTGTATTTTAACCTGTTTTAAGTGTCTGTATGTATGGAAACTTTTGGGGGGGAAATGAAAAAATAAAAAATGTGATGTGTGTTGCACATAAGAAAAAGTGGGTCATCAAAAGATTTTGTCTCATAAAAATGTGAAATATTTAGTAATACCTGTGCTGCATCAATAAATGAATGTACCACTCCCTCCAGAAAGACATGAAATCCCAGTGGATGTGGAAATTCTCCTTTTTCCAGTGAAAAAAACCTATCCAAAGTGCCTGTACTTTATATCATCCCCACAGCAAGGGCACATGTAAAACTTATCTCTTGTGATGAATCCAAACCAGAAACAGTTTCAGAGGAACAGGCTTGATGTAGAGAGATGCCAGTCTCTTCAGGTTTGTACCAGATTCAGAGAATGTATTTGAAAGAAAGCTGTATCATCTTTATTTAATATGTGCATTCAGAGGATGTTTAATTCAGGTGTTTACCAGAAAAACCCCGCAAACCGCGAAATGGAACGTGGAGCTTCTCAAAATAAAACCTACCACAAGCAAGAGCAGAACCCCTGCAATGTCCTTCTCATAGGAATGGACTCTAGGGATCCATGGGATGTTTCCAAAGCCCATCCCAGTTGCAGACTTCCCTGTGCTTGCTGACAGATGTGTTTGTCAGATGTTTTGCTCTCTGTCCCGTGTGGTGGAAGTGCCTCAGCACCTCGTTTTGATCGTATGTTGGCACATAAACCATCTGCCTCGGGAAATTATTGGAAATGCCTTGTTTCCCCCAGTCCATTTTCAAAATTTCAGTCGAATTGGGGTGTAGCTGAAGAGCATAAAGCTAAAAACAACCCTCCCCTGCATCCCCCAAACCAGTGAAAACATCAAACCACTTCCCAATGCAACAAGTTAAACAGAGCTCTGTAGGCTGGCAAATATTTTTAACTTGCAAAATACCTGTGCATGGGCTAAATTTACAGCTGTGTGGAAACTCATTCTTTCACGTGAATAATGAAAACAAGTGGAACTGTGGCGTTTTAAATGTTTTGCCACGTGTGAGTGCGACGGATCGTTGCTTCTGCGTGTCGTTGGTTTCACCAATCGCTGGGTTCACTGTGAGGATTGTCAGTGACTTCGTGCTGTGCTCTGCCTTTCAGGTGACGTTCGCAATGACATCTATGTCACCTTGGTTCAGGGGGATTTTGACAAAGGCAGCAAAACCACGGCGAAGAACGTGGAAGTTACGGTGTCTGTTTATGACGAAGATGGCAAGAGATTAGAGGTATTAAAGTATTTAATGTCTGGGGGTTTTGGTTTTGATGCATATCTGTTTAAGCCTTTTCTACATCTTTTTCTGTACTTGTCAGCTGAAGTCCCAGTTTTTATTTTCAACCACGCTTGCTCCTTTGTCATAATTAAATGCATCTTGCCATATCAGTGATGTCCTTTGATATTAATTTCATGAGCAGCTTTGAGCAAGAGCTATTCTGTCTTATTTTGACCTACTTCACTGATTTATTTTTTGTTTATCTGAATGAAAAAGAGGAGTTGGAGACATACAAACGCTTTTTTGTCTTTTTGTCTTTCGAAGAGTGTTATTTTTCCTGGTGCTGGTGATGAAGCCATCTCGGAGTACAAGTCAGTGATCTATTACCAAGTAAAGCAGCCTCGCTGGTTTGAGACTGTAAAGGTACAGAAACCCTTCAAATAACTTCCTCCACGTGTTAATATGCATTAAATATCTATTTCAGTGAGAAGCCTTGAGAAACAAACCTGGGGAAATTTGGTGCTGGTAGTTGGGTTTAGCAGGACAAGGAGTAGTTCAGCTAAGGAAGGCTTTGACTTTTATTGCATGTTGAATTTTATTTCGTCCTTTGGTCGATGTTGTGGGGGATGGTTTGCTGTTTAGGAATGGTTTGCTCTATTTCCATGCAGCTGGCCTAGGGAAGCAGGATATTAAGGTTAAAACACAACTGCCCTGGCGCTGAACTCATCAGTGCTTTGGGATCTGGCTGACTGTGCCTTAAGCTTGGTCCATTTGCTTGGATAATAAACTTTCTACTTGGATGCCAAGTTTGGATATGACAGAGGAGCTGATGTTGGGTGCACAGAACACATCCTGGCTGGCTGTGGGCAGTGGGAGTGGGCTCTGTGTGCTGGGAAGGGACTCGGAGCTGCTCCCCACAACGGTGCCTTGAGTCAAAAGATGGACAAAAAGCATCAGAAACCCGGGTGTTCCACTGGGATTTTTAAACATTAATCTGTTTGGAAGTGCCAGGGGTCTTGCTGGAAGAAGTCTAGGTGAGATTCTGGGTCCTGTCCTGACTGTTTCCCTCCTCCATCCTCTCTCCCAACGCGTGAAGGTCGCGATCCCCATCGAGGACGTGAACCGCAGCCACTTGAGATTCACCTTCCGCCATCGATCGTCACAGGACTGTGAGTAACTCAGCCTCTTCCTTATGGCTCTTGCCACTGGTGCCAAAATCTCCTGAAACAGGCATAACATTCCCAAGCTGGAACTGGCTGTTGGAGTTTTAGTGCAGGATGAAGTTTCTGGCCTGCTTGTTTTTATGCTTCTTTTTCGCTTTTCGCCTTCCTCACTCCTACCTACCCAGAGCGAGTTTCTCCTTTCCTGACCATTCTTTTCTCCAAATCAGATGAAAAGGAATAAATGGAATTTATTACTAATGGAATAATACCACAACCCCTTTGAGTTACTAATAGAATGTATTTTTCCATTAGTAACTCAAAGGGGTTGTGGTATTGTATATCTTAGAGGTAAGTGGGTAGGGAGTAGTAAAAATATGTGACAGTGGGAATGTGAAAGAATTCACAGTTGGCTTAGCATCAGAAATTAAAGACTTTGGGATTAAGAAGTTTGATTAATGAAATTTTCCTTAATTAATTAAATTAATAAAAATTTCCTTAGTTCAGAGGATGATAGTTGCTAAGGAAAACAGTGTGCCAAAGCCAGTGTCCTAAGTGTCAAAATTATGATTGTGTGCTACAAATCAGTAGAGTCAGAAATGGTTTTATGACTCAAATATTTAGGTTGGCCACAGCCTAAATAATAAAGAGTTCCTTAGGGCTGCAGGGCTTTCTCACAGGCTCCTTGGGCTGTCCAGGTTGTTACACTTTCCTTCTGGTTTTACTTCTTAACTTTGTGATCTCTGCTTGTCCCGTTGCTTTGTTTTTATTTAACTTTCAGCTTATTTTGTTTATTTTGCCTTTTTTTTTTTTTTTGCTTCTGTCTTGTGTTTAGAAGACTCTTTTAATTCCTTGTACACTTTGTTAAAGGAGAATCTTTGCTGTGATCACCCATGCCTTTGAGATTCAGGTGTACTGTCTGTAGAAGCATCAAGTAATTATGTGCTGATTTGTCTTTTTTCTTTTTTGTAACAGCCAAAGATAAATCTGAGAAAATATTTGCCCTGGCATTTGTGAAGCTCATGAGATACGATGGGACAACTCTGAGAGATGGAGAGCATGACCTCATAGTTTACAAGGTAGAATTTTGACTTTCCATAGCTCCACTGACTGATTTCTGTTCCAGAAGTCCCCAGAAAGATGTGTTCCAGACTGTTCTGTAGATCAAACAACTAAACAGCAAGGACTGTGCAGTTTGTGTGTGTGGCAGATTGAGGGTTAAAACCTGAGTATGTTTTTTCTGAGCATGTTTTAATTTTAAAGGCACTTGTTACTGAGTTCTTTGTGGGTTGGGAACAGTTACTTTTAAATAATCACGACTTGTCTCTTACCTCTGTGCTCAGTTTCTTTTGTTCAAGACCCACTGAACAGCCCCAAACCTAAGAAAATCCACTGTAAATGCTAAAATGTTAATATTACCAAGGGTTTTACTAGATATTTTCTCCTGTTGTGTTTAAAACATCCCTGTAGGCAGAAGCCAAGAAGCTGGAGGATGCCTCGACGTACCTGAGTCTGCCTTCCACTAAAATAGAACTGGAGGAAAAGGGACACTCAGCAACAGGGAAGAGCATGCAGAACCTTGGGAGCTGCACCATCAGCAAAGACTCTTTTCAGATTTCTACTCTAGTTTGTTCAACAAAACTTACCCAGAACGGTGAGTTGGTGGAACTGCTGGAGCTCCTGCCCCTCACGGCAGGAGTTGGGTCCTGTGTGCTGACTTTGCTGCCTTCTCCATCCCCCTTCCCCTGAGAGTGGATGGTGGGTGATTGTCTTGAATTGCACTGTCTGGGTGCAGCAAAAGCACCTCCCGAGTTTGTGTGTTATCCAGCCTTTGTTTTGCTTCAAAGCAGTAAAAATCTCTGGGCAAGCAGAAGAATCCCCAGTTAAATGGGAACAGGGGTACTGTTTGCCATATAGCAGAGAATTTTATCCTGAAATACCCTAAAAACAGGCTCTGTGGCATTTCCCTCTTCCTGGGCTAGGAGTGATAGCACTAAGGGAGAGGATGAGTCTGCTTTCAAGAGGGAATAATATCACAGCTCTGCTCCCAAATGAGCTGGTTTATGTTATTTCCAAGGTGAATACCCAGATCTTACACCTGAAGAGAGCTCTGATGCTTTTCTCCTCTTAGGCAGAAGGGATGTGAAAATGAGAATACGTTGCATCAGGTCACTCTTAGGTTCACACACCAACACAGACTGCTGGCAGTGGAGTTGGCATATTTTGCTTCTTTTAAATGAAGCTTGCCTTCTCTCCAGTTTTCCTGTGTATTTGTCAGCTGGCTCAGTGCATCCAAAGGCTGTGGAACTCGGAGCTGATGGCAGCCACCAAAGCAAATATTTCACATTTCCAGACTGTGCCCTCTGTGTGATTTTTTTTTTTGTGCTTGGTTGCCATGGAGTGATCCCTCGTTCTCGTGGCTGCTCCAGCGGCAGACTGGGAGTGTGGGTGGGTCATTGAGCCGGGAGTGAGTCATTCCAGGGCAAGGGGATCGCTCTGTCGTGACTCAGGAGAGCCGATGGATCAGCTGGGAGTTGAGCTCGTGCAGGAGGGGAGGTGGGTGGGAATAATGATGAGATGGCCACGTCAATGAGTTTCCCTGTGTCCGGGGGGAACGTCACTGCTCCGATACAGCTCGGGGAGGCGGCTCCCAGTTTATTGCGGTGTTTTCAGCGGCACTTCCCAGGTGTTTCCCATTCCCAGCACATCGGATCCACTGCAACCTGGCAGGCTCGGGGCCCCAGCAAAACACTGGGATATGGGTTTAGGATTTCCTCTGCAGCACACTGGGGTTGGGGGTTGTGGATCACAGGAACCAGCACGTGGGATCGAGCTGCTCTTTGTGATATCAATGTTGTTTTTCCCCTCGGTCTTCCCTGGTGCTCGTTAGTAATTAGAAGTATTTCATAGTGATCAATATATTGATGTTGCCTTCGCAGCACTGTTGTTAAAATGAAGACTGAGCATTGTTTTCAGCCTTAATTTACGTGTGGTTTGCTTTGGAGGTCTGATCTTTTGTTTAATGGTGCTGTTAATTATGTTGTCCGTGAAACTTTTCCTCCAAAGTTGCCAAAGTCTTGTCTTTTTTCTTCAAAGTGTTGTGACATTGTTAAACAAGATCACCACATGTCCTTGAGCGGTTTAGAAAAGAAACAAACAAACAAAAAAATCATCATTAAATTCCTCCCTCGAGTATCAGTTCTCATCTCAGAGTTGGCAGTGCTCTTCGCAGAGCAATTTCTGAAACCCGTTTTAAGTTTTGTAAAATTGTTGTTTAATACTCCTCCTTTAATTTTCTCAAAAATAAGTCGGTAGAAATACATGATTATCCTCATTTACCAAAATGGTCAGCCAAAACACATTTTTCTCCTTTTGCTCATCTGTAATAGTTCTTTCTTCCCCCCTGCAAGTATCTTAGAATTGGCTTTAAGACTTATTTTTAGTAATTCTGAAAGTATGTGAGTAAATCACTTTGCAACAGCAAATACTACACAGAAAAAGCAAAGTACCTCTTTGTATCTGAGCTCACTTCAGTTCTCTATAATCTTTAAAGTTGTTAATGTTGCTTTTTGTTAGTCTCCAAAATAAGAAACTGGTAAGAATTCAGCTTTTTTTTTTTTTTTTGAGAGGGAGCAATATATGAAATATCTACTTAATTAACTTGAGCAGTTGTCAGTGATTTGAGGCAGAATGTATTAGAGCAGCACATTCCCTGGCCTTTTCCTGGATTTTGCACTGAATTTTTAGGAAGAATAGTGATGCAAGACAAAGAGGAGAAGCCCAAAACCCCAGTGCCTGTGGAAGTAAATCCTACTGGTGCCTCTTCCAGGACTAACAGGATGGATGTCCTTTCACTAACAGGGTGTTGGGAATAGAACTGAAATCTCTGGAAAAACATTCTGTTTACCAGGAGCTGGTGTTCTCCCCGTGGATTTGCTGTGGTGAAGGATCCAGGGCACCTCTAAGGCTTATTCAGAGGATTTTTGTGTTTTCTTTTCTGCCTGAAGGACTCAAACCTCCAGATAATAGTGGCTGTTACTTAACTGGAGTCAGGACTTCGAGGAACCAGGGAGACCAGGTTTTTGGAAAACAACTGACAGGAATTTGGCTCAGTCAGTCAGCACAGTTGATAATTAAAAAAACAACCCCAAAACAACAGACAGTGTGACAGATTCGGGTGCTGTAGTGGCATAAAAAGTAAGTTGTAAGTATAGAATTAAAATAAAAGTCATAAAATGGAAAATCAAGTGTTAAAGAAGAAAGATAATTTCAAAGAATAGGTGGAAATTTAATTTGAGTGGAAATATTACCTGACTGCAGTGTCTGGGCTTTGAGAAAAGTTTGGGGGCATCTGTAGGGAAACCTTTGGATGGATACAGGTCAAGGAAAGTGGATAACCAGGAACTTGTGCTGTTTGCTTCCAAATACCATGCAAATATGGAGTCAATATAATCATAAATCACATTAGTAAAGCAAAGTTGTTCTTGGGTACTTGGCATTCTGGATATTTGTTTAAACCCTCTGCAGTTGAAAATCACAGAATCCCAGACTGATTTGAGTTGGAAGGGACTTCAAAGCCCATTCACTTCCACCCCTGCCATGGGCAGGGACACCTTCCACTAGCCCAGGCTGCTCCAAGTCCTGTCCAGCCTGGCCTTGGACACTTCCAGAGATGGGGCAGCCACAGCTTCCCTGGGCAACTTTGTTCTTTTCCCTGATGTTTTCTGATCTCACATTCCAATTGACCTGAGCTGACTGCAGTATTCTTATTTACTGCATTCTTTCACTGTATTATTTTACAAAGACCTACAAAAAGAGTGGGATGAACTGACTGACTGATGCTTTGCTGGGGTTAGTGCTTGCACTAATAGAGTGAATGCCCAATTTTTTCTGTACACTGTGCCTTTTTTTTTTCTCTTCCTGGAAGCTGGGCTGCCCTGACATTTTCTGTTCACATCTGTATATTCATTTAGCATTTGCTCTGCCATCACGCTGAGAGCACACGTGGATTTGTTTTCTTGGGGCAATCCATGATGCTGTTTGGAGACTGTCTGTGGGCTGGCTTTTGTTCACATCATTTCTTCTGTCAAGCTGATGCCTTGTTAGAAGTCAGGCTGGAGCCAAATTCCGTGGTGGAAAGCTGATATAAATATACTCATGAAACAATTTGGATAACTCGTGGAGGCATCTTTGCTTTCCTTCCAGAAGGAATCTTTCTGTTAGTGTTGAGTTTCTAAGACTTTGGGTTCAGGCTATAGCCTTGTAGGATACATTAAAAAAAGAAAGGGAGGGGGGACTTGGAGATTTTCAAAACTTTATTGTAGTAAAACACTATTTCTGTTTCCAAAGAGATGATGAGAAGGCTTGGTTTGAGTGCTGCTCAGAGAGCAGTCTGTCCGAGGAGAACTGCAGTCTCCTTTCCACTGGAAGTCATTTTATTTATTGCTTAGAATGAAAGATTTTGGGAAAATAAAGCAGCTGCTTTGGATCTCTGCAGATAATTTCCAGAAAATACTCTGCAGATTCATGCCTTGGTAAACACTGTGCTGGTTGCTTTGGAAGTCTGAATAAAAGAAATGAGGAGGGAGTATTGGTTGAGAGAAACTGCCTGTTTAAAGTTACTTTGGGCAGAATTCACATAATATGAACCATTTTTGGGGGGGTGGTTAATGTGCAGTGGTGATCCAGGGGCTGAACTGAAGACAGGCAGTCTTCAAAATAAAATAATTCGGAAAAGACCTCAGAGATGATCGAGTTCAATCTTTTATTGAAGGCTTCTCCTGAGCCTGACTTGCTGCTGGTTTGTTCTGTGCCAAAAGCTGAGCTTTGATGGGGCAGGGAGGAGGATTCTTTTTCCCTGGGGCTGGTCTGGCTGAGGCAGGAGGAACGTGGGAGTTTGGGGTGTGTGGCCAGTTGAGCCCCTCAGCAGATGCTGGGGTGTTAATATTTACCAGTGTGCTACTGCTGCTGCTTTGCAGGGGAACCCCAACTGTGAGTTCCTCTGGATCTTTCCCTGAAGGAAACTTTTAAATGACTAATAGGGAGAGCTTGCCTTCTGTATTTCCCTTATTTCTCAGGGAATGTTCAAGTGACAGGATCCTAATAATGTAAACTCTGGGGAATGAGCCCATTTGCATGATCTGATCTGTACCCTCAGTGTCCATCACTTGAGAGCAACCCAGCAATTATTCATCACACAGCTTTCCACTGAATTCATTTAGTTTGCAGCTCTTTGCCTTGCACTGTGCCTTATTTTCTTTTCAGTTTATTCAGGGAGAGCAAAGAAGCTGCAAACATTAAAGCTGGGAGAGTCACTGCCCTGTAGATATGACTGTGTTGGTGGCTGACTAATTTCATTTTGGCATCTTTTTCTGAATACACAACTGTTGTGTTCAACAAATTAAAACCCAGGGAGCAGACTTCCTTGGCCTAGATTTTCATGCTGATATTTCAAAAGCTGGCTGCTTTTCTGAAAGCCTTTCAGGGCTCTGTCATGGTAGAAGGATTGTACAAGTTTTCTGCAGTGTCAGAGCACACCACAAATATGTTACTGTCCAGCGGAAAAGGCTGAGCTAAGGAGGTGCAACTGTTTGTCCTGAATGTGGTTGTGGAGAGTGAGGGAAGGTAAATATCCTGCATGGTATAAATTGGTTTTCTTATTCCTAGTTGACCTCCTGGGACTTCTGAAGTGGAGATCTAACACGAACCTGCTGCAGCAGAACTTGAAGCAGCTGATGAAAGTCGATGGCGGGGAAGTGGTTAAGGTAACAAGTTCATTTCTTTAAAAAGAAATTTGGTTTCTTTAAAAACAAACTCGGTATCCTCATTTTCCCGAATCCCCTGTTTTGAGGTGTTTGTTTCCCCACACTCTCCCCCTCAACCTCACTTGCATATTAAATTGTAACCAGGTATCTCAGCCTTCAGGAGGCTGATGTCCTTCTCCCAGCCCTCACAGAACATTTTAGATGTTGAGGACTGATAAAACACACATAAAATACACATTTCTGAAAACTTAGCTTGTTTTGTTTAGCACTTCGGTCAATTTTTATATACTGATTCTTACAATGTGATATTAAATGTGTTTTTAATATATGGGTGTGCAATGCAATCCTACTGTGTGTTGCTGTTATCTCTTGTTTTGTTAAATATTTCTTCTGGAAATATTTAGCTGAGCCAAGTTATTTACATTTGCCAAGGCCACTGAGTGATTGTGGAGACCTACATAAAGCTGTGGAAAAGGGTAGGCTGGGACTTTATTGAATGTGTTGTAATAAATCAAGTCTAAAAGAGTGTCAAAAGATGTATTGGGGACAGATGACCCTTAAGGGCCTGGAGTGTTGTTTCCTTACATCAGTGGATTTTTCTTTGGTTCGTGGGAGCATAATGAATGCCTCAGCTTGGAGTAACTTAAACCAGCTGGGAATGCTGATGTTCTCCTTTGCTGAGGGTGGTGAAATTGGGTCTCACAGGTTGTGGTTTTCAGGAAGGTTCTTCCTGATGTGGATCATTTGACAGGAACACACTTGACACTGGTGCTGGCTCCTGCCAAGCACTGTCTTGGCTCTGTCATCTGTGATTTTCCCTCTTCTCCAAATGTGACACCTGAGGGTGCGTGGCAGGTTCTCGTGGGCTGGAGGTCGGTGATTTCATTGGGATGCAGCACAAATGAGATTTAAGTGAAAGTGGTAGCTTGCAAATGCTCAGGACTCATGGGATGATATTCTGATATTCCCATCACCATTTTTATGCCTTTTTCTTTTTTTTTTTCTTTTTTTTTTTTTAGACACCACTGTTTACATTATCCACCTGTCACAGGATCTTTGTGTAGCCTGCTCTGTTGCAATATGTAGTTTGTTCCTTTTCTATTCCTCCAGCTTTTTTCTTTGTCCTTCAGGTTTTTAAATGCATGGTACAGTCTATGTATATTAAAGTATTGACATGATAAAATGTATTCATATTTTCTGTTAGGCTGTTTCTTAAAACTCCCAGTAAAAGGCCTTTGCCTACTGGTGTTCATTTATTGCTAAGTAGAGATGAGCCAAGATACTCACTCTGTGATTTACAGCTTCCATACACTGTGGATACAGTCAATGTTATCTCCCTTTCCCAGAGGTTTCAGCTCCATTTGTGCAGAGAGTCTTTAGAATATGAGAATGTAAACCAATAGTCTAGAAATTATTCATGCTACCTGAGAAATGTTGTCCTGCCACTTCACACAGCACAGGCATCTCAATCTGTGCTCTTCTTGCTGTTACATCAAGTCCTTGGGAGCTTGATTTAAAACTTGAACTCTGCTAAATGAAAGCCAGTGCTTGACACCTAAATGTGAAATGGAGACTTGCTCAGTCGTGACAAGGCCTTGCAAACATCCTTTGGACTCCAGGGGACTCGGTGTGGGGGACCTGAGAGTGCAACTTCTCTTCAAACCAAAGAGGAACTTCTCCTGTCAAGGCTCAAGACTGTGCTTTGCTCTTTCCTTCCTGCCAGCTGGTGAAACCACAGAGTCCTTCAGAATTGCAGAATCACTTAGGTTGGAAAAGATCTCTTAAGATCACTGAGTCCAACCTTTAATGTGCTTTAATTGCACATCATCTTTAATGGAGCAAACAGGACTGTGAAAAAGCAATTGTTTTTTTTTTTTGCCCCCAGATCCCATAGTGAAATTATGACCTGGATCTCCCCCAGGACTGAGGTCTAAAAGGAGCTGCCAGAATTTTGGTTTTTCTGGTTTTTCATCCTCAGATATTGGTAGCATGAACTGTAGCTCCTGTATTCACTTCTTTTGGGTTGGGCATTCAGCTGCTATATTGGGGTTAAATCCTGACATTTAATTGCAGATTTAGTAGATCAGGTGAATCACGTTTGATCCAGAAGACCCATTGCATAGATACACATTTTTAAAGGAGGCAGCTGAGAGTCAGGCTGTTTTTTCCATCTCTGCCACAGGGTTTATCATCTCTCTTTGTAGCTGCAATCTCAGGAATCAGTTAGTTTCTGCTGCTTGAGAAATTCTTCCCCAACTGCACCTTGTCTTGTCTACAAGGCAGAAACTGTTGACTTCCCTGTGAGGGGAAGGTTGCCCAGAGAAGCTGTGGCTGCTCCATCCCTGGAAGTGTCCAAGGCTGGGTTGGACAGGGCTTGGAGCAACCTGTGATGGTGGAAGGTGTCCCTGCCCATGTCAAGGATAGCAGAACAAGTGATCTTGAAGGTCCTTTTCATCCCAGACCATTTTGTTACTCTGTGATACACTGGAGCCAGAACAATCCTCCTTTCTCAACCCAAACTAACCCAACCTGGGGCTGTGACCCATCCTTACTGTGCCTTTTTGTGTGAGCTGGAGGAACAGACTGCTCAGACCCAGAACCCTGGGATGAGTATCTCTGGGCTGTGTGTGGATTACTGGCTGTCACTGGGAAGAAACCCTGGAATTCCACAGGTGTAAACCAACTTTTCTCCCTCCGCTTGCCCGGAGCCCCCGACACTAATCTGCTTTTCCTTTCGTGTTACACAGATGAGGGTGCCCAGCCCGGGGGGTGGTGAAGACCTTCCTGTGTAGGTTTGGGGCTGGGGCAGCAGGTTGTGTGCTCTGCTTCCCATGCCTGCATGTGTGATCCCACTGGGAATTGTGGCTCGGAGTGGGGGCAGCTCTGAGCAGGGATGTGCTGTGAGCCTGCCTGTGCCGAGCTCCCGAGCTGCTGAGGGTGACTGGATTTATTGGCATGACTGACACTCAGTTGCTTGTCTGGTTTGTGCTCTGAAACATGAACATTTTCAGCAATGCATGATCCTGGTGACTCTGTGCTGAATCTGGAGTTTGGAAATGGTTGATTCGCTGTAATAGATTAAACTCCTCGTTTAGCTCTGCCAAGTGTGATTTCTGACTTTTTTGTTTGAGTGCTGATGTATGTATAGATAATCAACTCCACTAAAAAAAATTTGCTGGAAAAAAAAAGTGAAGCTCTTATTTTTTTTTTTGTTTTGAGCTAACTTTTAATCTTTTTAAAAAGTACAAATGAAAGCAGATACAGCTTTTGCCAAAGCTTCTACAGCTAAATTGAATTTGTCTTTCAAAATCTGACGAACTGTGTATTTTTTTTTTTTGTAGTTTCTCCAAGATACATTGGATGCACTTTTTAACATCATGATGGAGAATTCAGAGAGTGACACCTTCGACACTTTAGTGTTTGATGCTTTGGTGAGTTTGCACTGGGGATGGACTGAAATGTAGGTGCTGAAATGGTGAATAAATACAACAAACACAGCATAAATGGTGGAATAAAGTTTACTAATTAAGAAGATCTTAACTGTTAATTATTACTTACTTCAAATATTGTATTTGAAGGTTCAGTTGGACTTTATCCAAGGAGGGTTGGAATACATCATATCATCCTCCCCAGAAAATAAGGAAGCAGTCAAATCCAGTTGTTTGAGTGGATGAGTGGCAGAATTTAGGACAGGAACAGAAAGTCTGTGCTTAGAACAGAAAACTTGGTTAGGAGCAAGGAGTTTTCACAGGAGAGAAGAATATTTATATATTGGGAGGATAATCAGGAGCCAAAGGCTGTGTTTTTAGTGCTTGTAATGTGTCTCCTCTGAAAAGAAAGGTGACTGGACAAAATGCAAGATGATTTTTTTTTTCTTAGAATAACACAATAATTATGCTGTACTGTCAGGTGTTTATCATTGGACTGATTGCTGACAGAAAATTTCAACACTTCAATCCTGTCTTGGAAACCTACATTAAGAAGCATTTCAGTGCTACGTTGGCCTACACGTAAGTTGGAAAATGGCTTGGATAATTTCCCCAAATGATGTCATTTAGTTCCTTCTTTGCATGGGTTAGTCAGGAACGTGCCCAGAGAGCTTGGGAGGGTGGGGAGGTTCTTGAAGAAGATTGGAGGTGTTTGTTGAAATAACGTCGCTAAAACTGCATCTGCAGGGCCGAAGTCTTGATTGTGTTGTAATGATGGAGGGGATGATTTGACAATTTCAGGAATGGCTTAGTGAGGAAAATATAAGCAATTCTCACTTACACTTCAGAAGGAAATCATGTCCATTTAAGATGCTTGAAATAGAGGTTGTTTGGTACATTAAATTGACTTTCTGTCCTGGATTATCCACGTGGCTGCCAGCTTGGGAAGGAAGCAGTGGAGAACAAAAAAAGCAAAGGTCCATTATTTTTGTTGTCTTAAGCATTTTTTTTAACAGTTGGGATCTTTGCTGCTGCTTTTGGACTGTGAGTGTGGGAGGAAAAACGTTCAAAGTGTAATCTTTGCAGTGGTGGTGGCGGGGAAGCAAATCCAAACCAGGAAACCTGGGGTGCACTTTGTTGTCAAAGTCTCTATTAAGTGACCAGAAAAACGTTTGAAAATAGTGATTTAAAATTATGGAGAATTAGAGAGTCATGGTACCACAGAATATCCTGAGTTGAAAGGGACCCACAGGGATCATCCAGCCCAACCCCTGGCCCTTCACAGGACACCCCAACACTCACAGAATCACCCAGGTTGGGAAGAGCTCCAAGATCAAGTCCAGCCTTCAAGTCCTGCCCAAGTTTGCCGTAGTGAGAGAGGCTGCACTGACAATATCCAAGTGAATACTTGAAATTCTTGGGCAGTTTCCTCCTATTCCAGCAAATCCCCAGATATCCAGATTTGTGTCTGCTCTGCTGTTTTCTGTTAGGGCAGTATAATGTTGTACTTGTTTACTTTTCCTGGGGATGTTGGATCATGCAGTGGGGAGCTGGGATGATTTAAAATGGAATTGCTGGTAGCTCCATTAAAATCCTGATTTATATTCATTGGAAGGGAGGTGGCTGAAATGGGATTATTTTGAAAATTGTTTCACTTTCAGGTTTGATAGGCTTCAAAATGGGGGAGAAGAGAATTTCCAACTGGTTATATACGTTTTTGAGACATAAATTTCACCAATTCCAGCCCAAAATCCATGGGAAAAATTTGTGAACAAAGAAACCCATATTTTGTGTGTTAATGCTAACAATGTGTTTGTATGTCATTTAATTATTGTTATTATTTTGATCATTGCTTTTATATATTTATAAGTATTCTTTTGGCTATTATTATATATAAAATATATTTCTAAAAAGTATGTATTTATTATTAGTAGGTGCATCTGTATAACAGCCTAAATCTGAATATCCCTAAATATCCAGCAGAAAATAAGTCAGATGTTACATTTCTTGTATGTTGAATGGTGTCATGCTCTGATTTTGCTTTTTTTTTTTTCAAGAATAGGTTGCAGCAGAAACAAAACCATAATGAGTTTATTAATTGCATAATTAATTCTGTAACTTTGTGGGCACATCATTTTTCTTTAAACCTTTAAAAACCCAAACTCTTCCCTGTGAACATACTTGTAACTGGAACGTGTTTCTTTATTTAAACAGCAAACTGACCAAGGTTTTAAGAACATATGTGGACAATGCTGAGAAGAGTGGGATCACTGATCAGCTCTTCAAAGCCATGAAAGCCTTGGAATACATCTTCAAGTTCATAGTCCGGTCCAGGATATTGTTCAATCAGTAAGTACAGCAAATCCTAAAACCTCCTGTAATCCCAGTATTGCTCAGGAAGTGGCCAAACGTTATAATGCCACAGTTAAAGCTGCTCAGAAATATCTGAAGTTGTGGTCATTTATTTCAGGAGGTTTTTCCCCCTGAGCAAGGCAGGTTCCCTGAACACAGACAGGTGTTTTAAGTAGCAGTGGACTGGTAAAATCACCATAGTTTATGTCTCTGAATGACTAAAGCTTGTCATTATTTGAGGGAAAGTTCTGTTACTGTATTGTGTTTTCTACACAAATGTTAAAGGAGTTATAAACCAAGCTGATGATATATTCAGCCTCTCTTAGATTGAGTCCTTTTACTACTTGTTAGCCATGGTAACAACCTTATTACAGGGGATTTATGTAGAGCTCTTGAGTTACCATCTCCACCAACCTTCCTCTAATTTAGAGATTGTAATTTATTTCTAGAGGAGTCCTGCTGTGAGATTCATAAAATACTGAATGTCACTTACACTGTTGCAGGTCCCACAAATCACTTTAAAACAGAAAAAAAAAAAAAAAAAAAAGGGAAAAAAAAAATAATTACCTCTTGCTGCAGATTAGATTTACAGACAATATGACCCTCTGGAACACTGGCTGTGGGATTTCCTTGTGTGAAGCACTAATTCACAGCTCTTTAGTGTTGGGAAGACTCAGCTCTCAATGCCAAGGGATTAATCAGCAAAATTACTGAATGCTGAACGACACCGTGATTTGTTCTGCTGGAGGATTAAAGTCCTGCCTGGGGTGTGTGATTTGGAGTGATTGCAATGCAGGAGCGTGGCAGTGGGCTGAGATATCACTGGGGTTCTGCTGAGGAATCAAAGTGAGCAGGCTGAATCTTTTATTAAAAAATGTTGCGTATTTTTAACCTGAGGAATACGGTGGTGGACTGAATATATGGAGCATTTTAGCAGTGGAGCTGCAGTTCTGGATAAAAACATAGGAGCCTTGTTCGTCTGGTTCAAGGCTGGTGGCACCTCTGTTTGTTCAGGATATCAAGGTTTATAAAGGCAAAATATTACAAGTGACCTTTAGAAATATCTTTATTTGATTTCCTCAGCAATGATCCCAGTGGTTATGATGTGTTTACAACAGTCTTAAGATTTTGGAGGCAGCGCTAGAAGGGCCAACTTGGTGTAATCCTGGTCCTCTCAGAGCTGCAGAGTTTTTGTGCATTGCAAGTATATTAAATAAAAAACTGTTATTAACTGACAGCAGAAACACATTTGTGACTACCTTGTTTGTTTTCATTACAACTTCCTTTTTGAAAGGCAGAGCTTTTTGTCTGAAGCCCTTTGATTTATTGGACTGTCAAGTTTAGTTACTCTTTGTATTGGTATTAGTTTCACCTCTCTAATCTGTTCAGGGGGACAGTGAAATCCATTATTGAAATTGGGAGTTAACAAGTTATTTGTCCTGCATAACCCCCAGTTTTAGCCTAAAAGGGGAATAGGAGTTTGCACAGCAAAATAACACCATTTAGTGTTGTTTTCCTCTTTTTTTTCCTGTAGCACTCATTTCCTCTGTGGCCTGGTTAAATAGCCTTTTTTTTAACATCTGAGGCTCCCAAAGGTTTCTGAACACAGCATTAAAAATGATACACGTTGGTTTGAGTGTAGAGCAGCAAGAACATTCTGACCTGTGGGTTTATCCTTAGAAAAGCCTCTTTCCCGCTGTGATTTGTGATCCATCAGGATGTAGCTTCAGATGGGATGTTGGGAAGGAATCCTTCCCTGTGAAGGTGGGGAGGCCCTGGCACAGGTTGCCCAGAGAAGCTGTGGCTGCCCCTGGATCTCTGGAAGTGTCCAAGGCCAGGTTGGGTGGGGCTTGGAGCGACCTGGGCTAGTGGAAGGTGTCCCTGCCCGTGGCAGGGGGTGGGACTGGATGGGCTTTGAGGTCCCTTCCAACCCAAACCAGTCTGAGATTCAGTGATCTTGAAACGTGAGGAAATTGTACAGTGATTGTTTCTAGAAAACCCTGGGTGTGGTTGATGCTCTTTGGGAGCTGCAGAGCACACTCAGGGCCTTCCTGCTGGGTTTAATTCCAGAATAAAATGGAGGAAAATAGAGGGGAATTGAACTTTTACTGGGAGCTGCTATAGTGAGTCTTGATGTAAAGGGATTGAGGGGATTCAGGGAGAGAGCCAGTGGAACCAGGGATGGCTTTGGAAAAGCCCAGTTGTTGTTGGATGAAACTCTTGGAAGCAACTGAAGCTGACTGGGTGAGTAGGGGGTTTTAGTTGGGGAAGGAGTCATAGAATCATGGAGTGGTTTGGGCTGGAAGGGGCCTTAAAGCCTATCCAGTTTCACCCCCTGCCATGGGCAAGGACACCTTCCACTAGCCCAGGTTGCTCCAATCCAGCCTGGCACTGAAATTCTGTCTGATGTTTATAAACACTCCTGCTTAGATTTGATCTGGACTCCATATCCCTTTTTGTTGTGGTCATGTTAAGTCTGTGTAACCCTGACACAGATGAGTCATACACAGTGCCACAAGAGAGGATTAAGTTTTAAAATATTGATGTGGAGCTGGTGGTCTTCTCCCCTTTCCACTGAGAGTTATCTCATCCTACACCTGAAGCAGAGATAAATCTGCATTTAAAATGCTCAGAGAGTTTCAGGAACACTCATTCCTGTGCTGTATCAAGCCAGTGGACCAAGGTCTTCAGCCTGGCTGTATATTTTGTGTTGTTGGTGTTGTTCAGTCATCTCTGGGCAGTTTTGATCCCCCTGAAAGCATCTGACAGAAAGAGAGGGCTCTCTGTGGGCAGATGAGCTCTGAAGGTTCCTGCCTGAAGGCACAGGGACCTGCCTTGTGAGCTTGAGCTCTGGATTAGTCATTCCTCTTGTCAGCTGCACTGACTGTTTGGGAAAACTGAGCCTGAAATTAATGGTGGAACACAATTTAACTTCAGTGCTTCCACTCTCCCACTGCTGCCTGGGCTCCTGGAACTGGGGCACTGCTGAGGGATTCACCACCACTTGAAGGCTGAAACAACAGTACTGGATGGGGTATTTTACCATGGGAAGCTTTAAAATAAAAATCTGTTGCTCTGTTGTGGAAAAAAAACCTTAATTTTGATTCAGTGAAGAAACTTGTAGAAATGTGACACAACAAATGGTCATCTGTCACTTGGACAGAGTTTTTTTAAAAATGGGTTTCCACTGTGGTTGGGTTGTGCTTATGAAACCTAATTCTTTTTCAGGCTTTATGAGAACAAAGGAGAAGAAGCATTCAGGGAGTCTCTGCTGCAGCTCTTCAAGTCCATCAATGAGATGATGAGCAGCAACTCTGATCAGACTGTCATAGTGAAGGTTTGTACTTCCCACAGCTGCATCTTGGCTTTACTTTTGCATCCCAAACCACAGCTGGGCAGTTGATGAAGTACATGCTTGTATTTTCTGCTCAGAAGCTGATTTTACCTCAAACATGGTTAATTCTTGGTCCTTCTAATGAAGGGTTTGGGACTATATAAAGTACTTCCAAGTAAGTCCTTCCAATCCTAGAACCATTTAGGTTGGAGAAGACTTCTAAGATCATCAAGTCCAACATTTCACTGCTGCCAAATACTTTTCTTTTTAAAAGAGAACTTAGTTAAGGGTTAAATGACATTTGATTTACCTTAATGTTAAGGCTGTACAAGTGATTTTTAAAGCATTACCTTTAAGATGCTGATGACAACATAGATCCTCTTATGCACTTATTTATGTCTGAGGCTGTTCCAGAACTGCAGTTTAGTATCTTAAGCCCTGGTACACATTTTAAATGGATCATCAGTAGGGAGTCAAGAGTGCATACCTCATCCCTCTTCTTGTGTCCCTTTTAACCAGCATCTGCTTTCAGTAAGATTGACTGGCTCATGGAATTGGGAATGTGCTCTCTGACCTCAAATGGATGTTGATACCGAAGAGCAGAATCGCTGAATTGTGGGACTGGTAGATCTTTGTATCCAGAGGAGTCTGGATACAAAAGTTAGTGGATCTTTTTCATCATGGAGAAGTACAGAGAGTGTCACAAACGTGTGTTTGATGAGCTACACCTTGAACTTCTCCACGTGGCTCCAAGTAGAATTTAGAACAAGATGAAACCCTTGACCCAACCCTGCTGAATCAGTTGAAAGATGATCAGAAAGGGACTAAGAACTGAGGGAGAATTTGGGGATAGTTTGATTCCTCCTGCTCAGGCGTGCAGGGGTTGCAGAGAGAGAGAGAGAGAGACAGTGGGAAAGTGCTGTGCCAGTGCAAGAGGTTCCTCCTGAAGGGAGCTGGGAGAAGTAGAGCAGGAAAACTCCTGAGTCAAAGCCCCCAGTCCTTTGTAGGCGAGCACACGCAGGGCTGGGGCTGGTGAAGCCCTGCTGAGCACACAGCAAAGAGAGGGGGTGGGGATAAAGCAGCTGAGTTGGAATGTTTGAGGCAGAGAGGCTGAGACTGTATCATCTGATAGCAAAATCAGGGATATTACACGTTCCCAGAAAGCTGTATTTTCATTTCATTGACGAAGCGTTTTGCCCTGAATGGAAATGGGGAAGTTGGAGGCGGCGGCTCCGAGTTTGCCGTCGGGGGTTTTACAAATAAGATGCTTTCAGATTGTGAGAATGGGATGTAATATTTATTATTCTGAAGCCTGTTGGCAGGGCCTGCTTCAGGAAGGCAGATGAACATGGGCTTTTTTTTTCCCTCTTTTAACAATTTATAGCTTGGGGGGGGGGAAAAAATACCCTAAAAAATGGATTTGGTTGTGTTCACCTGAAATGCAGGAAGAAAAACTTCCTGGCAAAGGCTGGAGCCCTGGCACTGCGGTGTGCTGGTTCATGTTCAGGACTCTGCAGACTTGGGCAGAGCACATCTCCTGAAGCACTGACAGATGAGGAGTCAGTGTGGAGTTGAAGTGCACTTGAGGATGCCTTTCAGAAGCCTTGACAACCTTTCATTCAGTATTCATTGCTTTCATCTCCTTTGGACTCTAATTACTTCGCTCTTAGAACGCATCATTGTTAGTATTGGCTTTTTACAGCTCGTGAAATTGCTTTTATTATGTTCAGGTATCCACTGAAGGACTTCAGCTTGTGCAGTAATGAGAAACGTGTGGTTCTGTTACAGAGAATAAAACTACTGAAAAGGTGGATAAACGTGGGTTTTTTGAGAGAGGGTGAGTGTGGATTCTGTGAGTCCTGCCTGGCAAAGCTGCTGGAGTGCTGGGAGGTGTCAGTGTGAAGTGGACATGACATTAGAGGCTTCACTCAGCATCGCTGTCGTGGCTGCAGTGGGTACCTCAGGACTGTGCTCAGGTGGACCTCCCAGCACTGAGGGGGCTCCAGTGAGAGCTGGGGGGCAGACAAATGTCAGGAAGAGGAAATAAATCCCTCTGTGATGCTCTGCTTGGAGCTGGCAGTTGGAGTTTGGGCAGGACACCTTGTAGTCATCAGTGGCTGCTCTCCAAGGGCATCAGATCCATGTGCAGTGGCAGGGAAAGCAGCGGGGTTTTGGATGTGAGCCAGAGGGATGAGGAGGAGATGGCAGGGCTGTCATCTTGTTGTCAGCCTTGGTGCATCCTCTTCCTGCATGCCAGGTGCTGCTCTGGTGTCCATAGCCCAGGAAGGGGTTTGAGGGGTACAGAGGACCAGGACAGGGAATGGTGAACCTTCCTGGCAGGTGAGACACTCCTTTCCTGCACTGTGGGATTCATTGGGCAGTTTAAAGGGATCAAAAGAATTTTTAATCTTTTCTGAAGGTGGTTGTTACAGGGGGTTGTGGAGGCATCTCCATGGCCAGTGCTGGGCTGAGCAAAACAGGGAATGTGTGTGAGGGCTGATCCAAGAGCTGGAGCCCCTCTGCTCTGGAACCAGGCTGGGAGAGCTGGGGGTGTTCACCTGGAGAAGAAAAGGCTCCAGAGAGACCTGAAAACCCCTTCCAGGGCCTGAAGGGGCTCCAGGAGAGCTGGAGAGGGACTTGGGACAAGGGCCTGGAGGGACAGGACACAGGGAATGGCTTCCCACTGCAAGAGGGCAGGGATAGATGGGATATCGGAAAGGAATTCCTGACTGTGAGGGTGGGCAGGCCCTGGCACAGGTTGCCCAGAGAAGCTGTGGCTGTCCCTGGATCCCTGGAAGTGTCCAAGGCCAGGTTGGACGGGGCTTGGAGCAACCTGGGCTAGTGGAAGGTGTCCTTGCCTGTGGCAGGGGGTGGCACTGGATGATCTTTAAGGTCCCTTCCAACCCAAACCATTCTGGAATTCTGGGATACTCTGCTGAAGTTTTAGAGAAAGCTGCTGAAGATAAGCAGATAATTCCCAGTGCCTGAGTTGTGCAGGAAGATCAGCAGATCCAGCTGGAGCAGTTTTAAGCTTTTTTCCACCATTTTTTTAATATAAATATATATAGAGGAAGCTAAATATTATATACAAAATAAGTCTGTTTGGGGGGATAAGAAGTTGCAAAGAACCCACACAGAAAATGAAAGTGCTTCACATTAAAGGAAACAGACACTTGATTCCCACACTGCACTGTTCCTGTCCCTCCTTACAAAAACCGGGATCTGTCTCCCTAGTTTATCAACATGAAGCAAGAGCTGGCATGGGAAAAGTTTCCTTGAGATGTTCACAGCTTTTCTCTTTGGGTGGATATTCTGGGGTTTTGTTTTGTTGGGTTTTTGTTTTGCTATCTGTAGGAGAGTGGCCTTCAAGCTGACACCAAATGACTGACTGCAGGCTTGGGTTCTTAGCAAGAATTCCTCTTTATCTATTCAAATATTTTATGTCCTTGTGGAAACTGGGTTGTTCCTGACTGTAGCTGACTTAATATTTTGCATTTAAATTGCCTTTTTTTGTTTGTTTTTTTTTTTTTTTTAATTTGAATTTTTCAAGGCTTTGGGTACCTCTAAAATAAAGGTTTTCCCAAAAAAAGAAAACTCTCTGAATTGTACAAGGGTTTAAGGTTGTGAAGCATAAAACAGAGACTTGGAATTTGTACCTCTCTTAGGATTATGGATGTTCATAAATTCGCAGGGGAGAATTTATAGGGGTTTGTATATATATATATATATAAGTGTATGTAAACATTGTTAAAGGGGCATTTTAAATTTGAGTGGTATGATTTCAGCTACGTATTTTTATATTAAACAGGTAAAATTCCATGTATTTTTGGAACATGATTTGAGCAGAGCTTTACTAGCACTTAAACTTCTTCTGGCACTTTACCACCATTTATACCTCCTACCCCTTTTACTCTTTATAGGCTTAAAAATGGTGGAATTGAAACGTTGAGGTGCAAGAATGACTAAACCCCACTTTCATTCCAGGCTATAAAGGCAGCAGTAATCAGTCCTGTAGGTTTGAATTTGAGAAGGTGGAATGGTATAAATGACAGTGTTCAGAACAACACAGAGTTTGTTTTTTGTAGTTAAATAAATATAATTATTTGGGGGTTTTTTTTGGTGTATCGGTGGTGGCTGCAGTAGGGACAGGCATTTCAGGACTGCCTTTGACACCTGATTTTTTAAGATATTCAGTTGTCCAAAGTGGAGAGGGAAATTCCAACAGTGATTTGAGCTGACAGATATTTTGATTGTCCTCCTAATAAAATTTTCCTTGCATGCTGAGTGGCAGAGGGCTGCAGTTACAGCTTGAGAAGGGGAGATTACACCTAATTTCTCAAACACCAGTTTGATTTTAAGAGTTCCTTGCTGAAATAAGATGTGCAGCAGTTGGGCTGTGCATGTATTTTTAATGGTAGGGAGCCTTCCTGGCTTTATTCCTGTTTTCTGCTAATTGGTGCGTGATAATTATTCCCTAACTTTTTGCTGTTGGAGCATGAGCTCAGCTTTGAGCCTGTTCAGGATGACTGGGAAGGCACAGGCTGGGAGCTGGTTCTTTAAATGAAATACATCACAAACTTCTGAGGTACCTGGGAAGAAAACAAGACACTGCAGGGCTTTTTCAATGGGTTGGGTACTTCATAATCATCGTTAAAAATTAGTTGAATAATAGAATACAATCATGGGCTGAGTTTTCTGTGTCTTTTAGAACCTTTCTGGGGAAATATTTCTGGAAGATGTTTACTTATTGTTGTGCTTTGAGGTGTTTTACACTGAATTCTGTGCCAGAGGTGCTGGTTGTGAATCAATAACTGGGATGAAAAGTGGTTTAGTTGGTGGAATAACTGCTAGAGATGGAGGCAACTCAAAAATAGCATTTAGGTGTCCCTGGGTATTGTTTCATCCACTGACTGGGCTTTATTTGGCTTTAATAGATTTAGGGTTTAATGGAAGACCATCTTGTGTAGAGAGAAGGTGCTTTGTGTTGAGTAACACAAAAGGTGACAATTAACATTAAAATAATGTTCAAATGGAGCCTGGTGAAACAAATTTATTGCTTTGTCAAACAAAAGAGTTCTTAAAGAATGCACTGCATTTGGCAGAGATGTTGTGCTTAATTTTGAGCCCAGGCATTGCTGGTGGAAATGAATGACTTTGGAAAATGACAGTTTTAAATGAAGAATTTGGGCTTTTATGGAGTACAAAGAGAGGAACATAAACCCCAGACAAAACCTGGGATGTATTTTTTTAGAGTACATTTTGTTTAATCCTTTGCAAATGTCACTTGTTCAATCTAATGACAACCTTAAGTTACTATTGCTGTTTTTTTTTTTTTAACAGTTACTGCCAAGAAGCTTTTGTGACTGTTTTTTGTCATTCCTTTTTATAAGTATTTTTGATAATCTAATAAATAAATGAAGCTTACTCTTATTTTCTGTAGTTAAAATCTGCAGGAGTCAAAGTGGAGGTTTTTGAGTGTCCCCCCACCAAAAAAAAAAAAAAATTGCAAAAGAAAATTAATTTCAGAATAAAGATAAATAAATCAGATCAACTTCTAAATCTGAGCCATGTGCTGGTTTTCCTCTTGGTAGATCCCACTTTTCACCCATTTTTGTCTCATTAAACCTGGCTGGAACTGAACTGTCAGCAAGAGCTGTGGGTGGTGCAGTGGATCCTTCACTGATGTTCAGAGGGGCCGCTCTGAATTTTGGGAATAAAACCTCCATTGCACTCGATCTTTATTTATCTATTTATTTTGGAATTCTTACCCTGTCTGAAGGTTTTGTTTTGTGTTTTTTTTTTTGTTTTTCTCCCAACTAATGTTTATAAACAGTTCCTTCAGCACAAATTGTTATTTCACTGAAGGAGTTTGGGAAAACACAATTAGCCCTTAAGTCGTTATAAACCCATCAATGAATTTATCTCAAAGGTTGCAAAAGGGGTGGCTGTGATGATTCAAGGGAACAAGTCGCAATTATTAATTCCGTGCAACGATTAAAGCCTGGGAATTGTCATCCCCTGCATTGGCTGTGCAGGGAACTGTGGCCATCAATTATTGCTTAATTTATTCTGTTGAAGGGCAAAGGTTTTTTGGCTTTTGGGGCCCTTGTAATTTTCGCTTGGTGAGTTTTATTTCTTGGCACACTTAATTGGCTTTTTTTTATAGTTCAGGCTGGGTATAACTCCCTTCATACCCAGATCTGACCAACCACACACTCACAAATTATCCATTAATTCCCCCCCTTTAGGGGGGGAATTAATGGATAATTTGTGAGTGTGTGGTTGGGAGAGGGAATAAAATTATGTATCCAACCCATTGGATTTACTGCCATGTCCTTGCTGACGTCACGCAGGGCCACGTGAATCCCATCCTGGGAAGGAAAATCAAATTCCAATAACACCCCCACAGCCAATACAACACTGAGCACCTACGAGGAAATTTTAACTCAGGGGAAAAATATATCCATTATTCACACAATACCCCCGTCTTCTCCTTCTGCCTTCTCTCCTTTTCATCCTTCCCCCTTTTTGCTGCTTTGTTTGCAGTGGAAAATTAATGAGTTTGTAACTCGAGAAGGGTGGCGATGATTTGTCGCTTGTTTCCCACGAAGGGAGAAGCCCCCCTTCAGGCAGTCAAATTTTTATTGCAGCCCAGCTTGAAACTATGTGTAATTATTGACTGTGTGTGTGAGGCTGAGAGGTTTCCAGCTTTGTATGTTCCATCTTGTGTGATCGCAGGGAAATTGCTGCAAAAACCTGTTGGATTAAAAATTGAGGTCCTCCAATTATTGAGGGTTGTTTGTTTGTTTGTTTGTTTTTTTTTTCTAATGCTGTTTGGAATATTCAAATGCAGGCATCGCTGTGTAACTGTGATGATTTTGTCTCAGTTTGCCATGTGCCTCTTTCAGAAATGAGGAATTTGAGCCTTTGTCCGGTGCTGATCGAGGGTGGAAAGTAATTAATTAAAGTGGGGGGAAAAAACACCCAACCAAAGTACAACAAAACAGATGCTCGTTTGCTTTCTCTTGATCTTATTTGAAAAGGCAAGAACAAGTTTTTTTAATGTTTTGAATTTCATATTCCTCATTTCTGTATTCCAGTATCCTGGGAATAACCAGCATTGCCACTGAGCTGCTCCTAATAAAAAAAAAAATAAAAATCTTCTTTGAGCTGCAGCTGTAACAGAGTAAAATCCACAGCGAGAGCTGCTCTTTCCATGATTTAACACCAACAAAAAGGTATTTTAGGAGCCCTTTGGATTAGGCAGATAAAGGTTTAATCACGGACCTGCAGCGCCTCGTTGCCTGATCATCTTATCACATAATTGAGCCGCTTTAGGTGGGAAATAAAGAAACACCCTTCCATAATTTTCTTTTAAATTTTAAGAACTGAACTTCCATTGGTCTGTCCAGAAAGTAGAGCCGAAGTTGCTGCTGATTGTTGTAACTTCAGGGTGCTGTAAACAGTGTTTTACCCCCCGGTTATTCACTTGCAGCCCTCAAAGCGTTAATATTTACTCCTCTGCCGGCGCGGTGGGAAATTTTAATTCCAGGCATAAAAACGTCAAAGCTCGAAAATTTTAATTCGAGATTATAAAAACGCCAAGCTCCCCCCCCCTTTTTTTTTTTTTAGGATGTGTTACTAAACATTTATCGCTACACGCGTTTGAATGATAAGCAAATAAACCCCCGGCGCGCTGAGCGAGGTTTATAACTGGTCATTAGAACCCTCATCCATCACAACACACCAGCCTGCACATAATGGCCCCATTTGCATAATTACAGTTCTGAACCCGATTTGGGAGCGGGGAAGGAGTCCTTTAGGCATCCGTGGGAATGTTGGAGGAGCGAGCCTGACAGCTCCTGGGAGGAAGAAGAACAGGAGCGCTCGGGAATTCGAAGCCCAGCCCGTGGACAGGTTGGGTTTGCTCTTTGAGAAGCGGTCACCAGCCTTGCTGGCTGCTTGAAGTTCTCCAGCAATTGACTTCTTGCGTCCAAGAACTGTGGAATTTGGTTGAAAATTCCCGGGCTCGCGGCAGGAAAATGTTATTTCAAAACAGATGAGTGGTTTTGTACGTGCGAGGCAACAGCCGCAGCTTCTCTGGGCAGCCTGTGCCAGGGCATCACCACCCTCCCAGACAAGAATTCCTTCCCAGTATCCCATCTCTCCCTGCCCTCTGGCAGTGGGAAGCCATTCCCCCTTGTCCTGTCCCTCCATGCCTTGTCCCCAGTCCCTCTCCAGCTCTCCTGGAGCCCCTTTAGGCCCTGGAAGGGGCTCTAAATTCTCTCCAGAACCTTCTCTTGTCCAGGTGAACCCCCCCAGCTCTCCCAGCCTGGCTCCAGCCCTGGGAGCATCTCCATGGCCTCCTCTGGCCCCTGTGTGGGGAATGAATCATTCCCCCTTTTTGAGGCAAAAAATACATCTTTAATCAAACTGTTTGATTTTTATCAACCAAATGCAAAGCTTATTGTGTAAGTCTGGCTCTCGTGGTTTATATTTGAATTACTGTGGGTTTTTCCTTAGTCTGGTGCTCAGTGCACCCAAGAAATTAAGGAAAGTCACTACAAATATGAAACCACCCCACCCCCCAAACTTTATCTCTTTGAAATGACTGTGCAGACCAAGTGATTTTTATCTGGAATATTTCATTCACTGTTCTTTAACCCAAAGTGTATTCTGACATACTTGCATGAAATTGCTGGGCAGGAATTTTTAACTGCTGGATTTTTTTTTGCTCTCAGTGCTTGTAACACAATGTCTGCTCTAGAAATAAATAAACACCGACTAATTGTTCCTAAAACGTGGAAAGACAAAATGAGTTAAAATTACTACAAAGAGTTAAGAAATTAAACATCTGTTTGCATCTTCTGAATTCTTTGTGAAATCCTGTGCTGTGAAATGGAGGGACCGCTGCAAGTTCAAGGGGAAAATTAGGAAGGGCTGCAGTTCCACGAGTGGCTACCAAGAATTTTCTGCAGGGAAAGATGATAATTATGCCTTTTTGCTTAATTTTTGAGTAGTGGAGTGAAAATTAAACCCAAACAACTACAGCCTGGCTGGGGAAGGGGGTGGGAAGGTGCCGTGCAGAAGTTGGGGATAAAGGGATTAGGGAAACCAAAAGGGATCTGTAACATGTTGGAAGGAGCTTTTAAGTCCCTAATTTTAATTTTGGTGTAAGTTGTCAGTTTTCCCAGCTCACAAACCTTTCATGGCTCTTTCTTCTTTGAAATGTGTTAAACTTAGGAGTTTAATTTCCCTTGATTTTCAGTTTTGGTGATTTACCCCCAAAAATACGCTTGAGGCCAAACCACAGGGGTTCAGTGAAACCAAAGCAGCCAACTCAGATGTGGATTCTCTTCTTGCAGTCAGACATTAATTTCAGTCTTTTTTTTAATTATTTGTTTTTGTTTTTTTTTTTAGGGGGCAGCACTGAAATACTTGCCAGCTATTGTCAACGATGTGAAATTAGTGTTTGATCCAAAGGAGCTCAGGTGAGTGGAGTTAATTAAATGTGTAATGTGAATTTCATATAGATCTTTATTTTTTAATATATAGTTATCTCTCTCTCTCTCTCTCTAATACAGTCATCTGAGAAGTTTCATCACTTTGGTTTTATACCCTATTTTTTTTTTCCTTGCAAACAATTCTAAGGCTACACAGAGTCTGTTTTTAAAGTATGACATCAGAGTTTGACAAATGTTTGAGAAACTTTGCAGTACAACATGACACAGCAGGAATTATCAATCAGGCAGCTGCCATCAAAGCTCTTAAACTGCACCACGAAGCTCTTTCAAGTATAAATTTAACATAAATAATAGAATAGTAAATAATTCAGTCAGCCCTGTTGCTGGATCAATGTTTTCAGTAGCTCATAAACACAAGAATATTGTTAGTAAATAAAAAGGATAATGAGATGTTTAACAAAAAAAAAATGGAGAAAACAAATAAAAACTCTTATTTCAGGAGAACCTTTAACTTAAAGAGACAAAAAGATTTATCTTTCATGTGTTATTACAAGGCATTTAAATTGAATGAAACCCTTTTTTGATCTTAATTGATTGTCTGGTCTTATTTCTGTGGTCTGATATGTCAACATGAGGAAAAGAAAGGTAAAGTAGAAATGAAATAGATAAGTATAATCTCAGTCTAACATTTCAGTGGCCTGAGGAGCCTGGCATTTAGATTCTGCTTGCCTGTCAACTGTGTTACATGTCCATTTGTGCCTCCTCTGGGCCTGGGAAGTACATTTTTGTGGAGTTTCTGGATGAAATAATAACTTTGGTTTGTGATAGCAAAAGTACTGGGAAAATAAAGCAAGTGAAAGTACCAGGACTTGGCCTGTTTTACCTGAGCTACAGTTCTTCTGTGCTGTTACAAATCCAAATTACAGTTAAATACTGAGAGGATTTCAATTGAGATTGAATTAGAAGGGAAGGCTCTACAGGAAAACGAAAAAAACTCAAGATTTTAGCAAGGGATGCAGAATTACTGAAAAGTCTTCTCAGTGTTCTGTGGGAGCTCAGCTGATGAGTGTGATGGTACCTCATCCTAAAATGTGTGTGCTCCTGGGTTTTATTTGCTTCTTTATTTTTGTTGTTGGTAGCTTGTAAGGTGAATTAGCACTTGTTAATTTTTGGTGTGTATAATCAGGGTTGAAGGCAAGCACAGGCAATTAAAATTAGAAGTCTGAAATGTGGGAGAAGGGTGTAAAACTGGAGGAGGAGGGGAGGGAGCAGAAGAAAAGGCATCAAAACCCAAACAAATGTATTGAAGACAGTTCACGTTTCTCTGACTCTCCTGACTCTTCTACTTCTCCAAAACACTGAATTTTTCAAAACTATGAAGTTGTGTATCTTATCCTTTATTGATAGGTGGTTTTTAAGTATTTTTGAAAGGAGTTTCACGTGTTTTTCCCTCTCCCTGTGTGTGCAGCAAGCTCTTCACTGAGTTCATCCTCAACGTCCCCGTCAGCCGCCTCACCATCCAGAAGCTCTACTGCCTGATCGAGATCGTCCACAGTGACCTGTTCACTCAGCACGGTGAGTAGGGCCCGTGTCACCACCAACCTGGGGCTTTGGTCGGTGTCCCCAGACCTTCCTGCCCTCACAGTGGGGTCTGGAACACTTTAGGGGTGTTCCATTAAGAGTTGAAATCACGGTTTGTGTTGGAAGGGACCTTAAAGCCCATCTCGATCCACCCTTTGCCCTGGGCAGGGACACCTCCCACTGGACCAGGTTGCTCCAAGCCCTGTCCAGCCTGAACGTGAGGAAATGCCAACTGACACTGCAGGTGACAGATCATAAAAGAACTGAAAGCAGCAACTTGGGATTTGTTATTTTAAAAAGGCACTAAACAACCACGTCCTTGGCCTCTGTTGTGGCTTTAACTGCCATGGGTTTTATCAAAACTATTAATTCAGCTTTCGTGCTCAGTGAAGTTGTGTGGAGGAAATGGAGGTTTTTGATGTGCTCCGTGTCTGAAGCATCGTGTTCTCCCTTGAAGATGTTCCCTGGCTGAAGTAAAACAACACATAAACCTTCCACAGTGTGCTGTTCATCCATGGTTTTGTTGTTTTCCCCATCCCTGCCTTGTTATTTTCTGCTTTTCCATTAGCGGGCCAGTTCAAGCACTTTGTCCTACAGATTTCCTCATTTAGGGTGAAACCTTTTATTCTCTTCCTGCCTGAGTGCAGATACCTAACCAAGTGTTTGTGTGCTGTCAGGGGGAGTTAACGAGGGAGCAGAGGACATTTGGAGGGATGCTTTGAGGAGGAAAGCTGGGATGCAAAATGCTGATAAACTTTTCTGGTTCCAATTTAAAGAAATATTCTCGGTGGTTCAGCTTTTTACTGGACTTACACCAGCTCAGGTGGCGATGAGGCGAGAATGAAGCTGAAAAACAGAGTCTACCAGTTGTGTCACCACCTACCTGTTGCTTGAGAGTATGGAAATTTGGCAGAAACGGCAGGTCCAAACTGGACCATCTTCACTCTTGAGATCTTTTGAAATTATTCAACCCATAAGGGCTGGATTTGGAAGGATAAAAAGGAGGAATGCAGATGGATTTGCTGCTGTCAGGGCCTGGGTAAAATGGCACTGGTGTCTCCGAGACAATGATTCCTCCTGCAGATCTGCACATCAGTGTTACTGCTTTGATTCATTAAGTCTCAGCTCTCTCTCTCTCTCTCTCTGTGTAATTGTCCCTTCTCCTGGCTGTTCTTAGGTTGCAATGATTTTTGGGGCAGAAATCAGTAATAAAAGATATAATTCTTTGCTGTCCTGGGTAGGAGGAAATTGAGATAACTGAGATGAAACAAGAAATTATGACTATAAAAGACACTCCTAAGAAAGGCACACTGTGCATTTACCACACTAATCTCTGAGTTCCATTTTTCAACCAGTTTAATTTTGAGGTGGAAGGAGAAGTTGTGTGTGGCTGCTTTGTGATTTTACCCTGACTCACACTCAGCTGGTGAGGGTGCAGTGAATGGTGTAGTCCAACATTACTGAGCTCCTGAGAAATGTAAATGCATCTGTTTTGATGGGAAGGTGATTAATCTGAACTCAGGCCAGGTTTGCTGACAGAGCAGAGCTGTTTAATGGCTGATAGATCTTATCAGGAGGCTCCTGACAGGGGTTTTCCTGTCACTCACTGTTCAAAAGGCCTTAAATCTGATGTGCTGCAGTTGGGTTGTGATGGGGATTCCAGGCACACCTATTAACCCAAACCATTCAGGGATTCCACAGTCTTCATGGATGTCTGAGGGGCTTTTTGTGTGTCAGTAAACAAATTATTTTTTAAAAAGCTTTTCTTGTCACTGGTATCATGGAATGAGAGTGGTTTGGGTTGGAAGGGACCTTGAAACCCTTCCAGCCCACCCCCCTTCCACTATCCCAGGTTGTTCCAAGTCAAGGGCACCTTTCATAAACACTAAAATTCACTTGAAAATAAATTAACCCCCTTGGCCACAGCCCTTTTTAAATTTAGCTTCTTTTCTCTCTTGCTCTGTGGGTTGAGTTCATGACTAAAATGCAGTTGACTGCCTCTCCTCCTTCCCATTGATCCAGTAATTCCAAACTGATAGGGAATGCTTTCCTGTGAGTAGTCAACTAATCCTGTATCCTGTTGCAGAAATGAGGTTTTCTTTGCTAAAAGCCATATGCTCTACAGGGTTGTGGAATTGATGGAGGGCTGGCAGATGTACAGAAAATTTCATCAGTGTATTTCTGGTGGAGAGAAATGCTCTAATTCTGTGCTTTGAGAGGTCAAGGGAGACTTATTTGTGTCTCCAGAGGAATTAAAATCCAAAAATACACGAATTTGGGAAGCTTGGAGGATTTGGGGGTGAGAGGGGTGGGCGTGTGAAACAGTTTGCTGAAGGATGAGGCTTGAAGGATGAGAAGTGATGGATGATTCAGTGGGAATTCTGAGCAGTTTGGGACCTGGGATGAGAATGGACTGTGTATCTTTAAAAAAAAAAAAAAAGGATGTAAAATCCAGTTTTAAAATTTGTTTTATCTCTCTGTATTTATAAACATAAATGTGAATATGTAATAGTTATAGACAACAATTACATGTTTCCATATAGAAGTAAATGCGTGTGTAAATAGGTGACATATATATAAAATAACCATCTAAATGAGTGTGGCACAGTTTCATAAAAACCTAATGCATATTTTCAGTTCTACGCATGTAAGTGCTCGTGGTTGGGAGTTAAATGAAGTGTCTTATCCTTGCAAACATCAAGATTTTGGATTGTGTAAATAGTGATTTGTCTGATTTGTTTTGTCCTATAGAGTTGTTTGGATTCTCTGCTGCTTTGTTTTCCAAATGACTTCCAGCTGATTACCAAGTGAGCTGTGGAGTTGCTGTTGTCTAAAAATGAAAATCTAGGGATTTCTCCATGAGGAAATTTAGTCTATTAAATATTAGTAGGCAGCAGATTGCATTTATAAGAGTTCTTATTGTTTAATTATGACTAAAATTACATCTCTGTTTCCACACTGTGTAGTGAAGTTACTGAGCACAGGTCTAATTTTTTTGGCCGCTAAATGAACCATAAAATAAAGAAATGCATTTGTCAGTGTCCTCCAAAAGAGATGCATTTCAATTGACACAAATTTATGGCCTGTATTTACCTTCAGCACAGTCCCTGTGTCGGTGCAGTCTGTGCCTGGCTGCTCCTAAGCTGATGATTCCTCCTGAGCATCCTTTTTATGAAGATGAATATTTGATTCCCACTGCACATTTCCCTGCCATTAATTAATCACCTGTGCAGTGGAACACATGTGGGGTGGTGGTTGTCTGTAATGATTGTGCATCACACCCATGAGCTCCTCCAGAGCTGCCTTGGGAGCGGGAGAAGAATGTTCTGGACTGTCCGTTTCTCAAGGTTGCCCATTGATCAGGGCTGGGAGGGGGTTGTACTTTCTCCTCTGTACTTCCAGGTAATCAACAGGCAGTTGATCAACTCCATGTTTTATAGAGCAGTTTATGGCAAAGATGAAAGTCTTGTGTCCTCGTCGAGGCCGTTTCCACAGCACTGGATTGGCTGAAAAATCAGAGCATCGTGGAAGGGTTTGGGTTGGAAGGGACCTTAAAGACCATCCAGTTCCACCCCCTTCCACTATGCCACGTTGTTCCAAGCCCTGTCCAACCTGGTCTTGGGCACTTCCAGGGATGGGGCAGCCACAGCTTCTCCGGGCAACCTTATTCCTTACCTGCCCAGATGCTGAGTATCATGGATGGAATTACCTTTTGATTTTAGGCCTGGCTTTCCCACTGGCAATATTTATTCCTTTTTACCCACTTCACAGTAACCTCTGTATCAGTGTTTTTTCCTTACAGTGAAAGTTCCACTGGTGATTTGTGTGCCGTGTAATCTGCAGAAAGGTTTCACAGATTTGATGCTTGCAGGGTTCTCTGTGGGTGTCTGTTGGTTTGTGGGTTGGTTTGTTAGTTCTTAAAAAGGATTTTTCAGAATCATAGAATTGGTGAGGTTGGAAAAGACATTTAGGATCATCAAGTCCAGCTGTCACCATGTTCACTGCTAATTGTATCCTCAAGTGCCACATCCACATGGCTTTTAGATCCCTCCAGGGATGGGGACTCCCTGGGGCCTCCAGACAAGGCTGGACAACCCTTTCCAGGAAGGAATTTTCCCTAATATTCAACCTGACCCTCCCCTGGCACAGCCTGAGACCTTTTCCCCTTGTCCTGTCCCTTGTTCCCTGGGAGCAGAGCCCAATCCCCCCCTGGCTCCCCCCTCCTGTCAGGGAGTTGCAGAGCCAGAAGGTCCCCCCTGAGCCTCCTTTTCTCCAGGCTGAGCCCCCCCAGCTCCCTCAGCTGCTCTTCCTCAGACTGGAATCTTTCTCTCAAGTGCCCAGCACGCCTCGATAAAACACTTGGGTTTATTCCCGTTTTATAACCAGCAGGTGCTCCCAGTGGATGCAGAGGTGGGAACTGAGGAGCCTTCTCAAGTCCAGCCGAGGGAACTGAGTGTTTTGTGTGGGTTGTGTAACTCCAGACAAAGCACTGTGACAAATCAATTAGTGTTCCCTTTCTCAGAAATTCGAGCTGAATCCCTTCCCCATTGATCGGAGCTGACTCCAGGCAGTCCAGCTCAGAGGTGACCCAGCTGCAGCTCTGCCTTCTTCATGCTGCAGATATTAAATTGATCTTTGCCCTCTCTAAGTGGGGCTTAGCAGGGACGTGAAACACTCTCAAACATCTAATTAGGGGCCTTTTGGGTTACTAAAGATTGATTCACCTCTCAGGCTTTGCAAAGGCATGTTCTGAGCAATAGGACAGTGGGTTCTCCCTCTCCCCCTCCCCTGCTCTGTGGAGTTTTGCTTAATCTGCTCTTCTCTTTCCATGTCAGTCCAAGTCCAAGGGAACAGCTTAGATTGAGGTTTTACAAATGCAGAGGTGCAAGGTTGACATCACTGAACCAGGCCATTCCTTGGGCTGTCATTTATGTGGGTGATTAGTAATTAATTTAGACCTGGTGATTCTGTGAAAGAACAATCTGAGCACTTGAAGCAAGGAAGGGGATGTTTTGTGGATAGGAGCGAGTGGTCAAAGGCTGGAGCCGTTCAGAGGCAGAAGTTTCTAAGGTGAAGGGAGGTTTTGGTTGAAAAGCAGGTGGCTGGAAATCTGGAATTTACCTTTTTTCCTGATTTTTGTACCTTACACTAGCACTGAAGCGCATTGAGGCAGCTGAAAGCTGTGTGTGTAACCTCCTGTTCTGTGTGCAGACTGCAGGGAAATCTTGCTGCCAACCATGACAGACCAGCTCAAGTATCACTTGGAAAGACAAGAAGATTTGGAGGCTTGCTGCCAGTTGCTGAGTAACATCCTGGAAGTGCTGTACAAGAAAGACGTGGTGAGTATTGCACTGTGATGATCAGCACTCAGATGATGTTAGTAACATGAATTGAGCAGGTAACTGCTGATGACTTGGATCAGACAGTGAATAAGGAGATATTTTTAGGAGTTCAGCCTTCCCCTTACGTGGTGTGTGGCCTCTGCCAGGTGGAAAACGTTTTGTTTTGCTGTTTTGTTTTTGTCTTCCCCCATGAGCATTTTGGGAAATGTGCTTTGAGATGTATTGTCCCTGACATGGTACACAGGCATGCAGCATGTGTAAAAGTCCCTTTTTTTTTTTTTTTTGCATAATAGTTCCTTTTTTGCCTTCTCTTGAATTCAGCTAACACACAAATATTGGTGCTTTGCTGGAGAGCTGCAGTGATTTGATGCTCTCTTAAAATTTGGGCTGCTGCCTGAGCCTTCATCCCTGGGTGGAATCAAACACTAATTCAGTTGGAAAGGACCTCGGGGGTCAGCCACTCACATCATATCTGGCATCTCATTTAGCTGTGTTTTTTGGGGTTGCTCTGATTCTGTTGCTGTTTTGAAGTGGCTCTGTGTGACTGCACACTCCTGGCTGCAGGACCAGTACCTGTGTGTATTTGTACTGGTGAGGGCCCAGTCTTCAAATACATTTTTCAAATACAAAGTAAAAGATGGGAGTAGAACTCATCTGTTTCTTCCTCCTGGTTGTGTTTTTGACCTCGGGTTTTGCCCAACATCCTGCCTGAGGTTTCTGGGCTTCTCCTTAAAAGCTGGTTGCACTAAATATTTCATTTTCAACTCTTTCAAAAATAGAGGTAGGTTGCCCCTAATACAGAAACACTGATTTGAAACAACTGACTGAAATGGGCAGTTCCTTAATGAAAGTTTTACTTTGCTTTTCTCTTTTAATTGAGCTGCTGCAGAACAGCCCCCTCCTGATTTGGTGATGCCTGGGGGGTTTTGATGTTGGGAAAAGGACTGGGGGAAAAGAAAATTAATAGGTAACTTCATGTCATAGGCTTTGCTGTGTTTCCAGGGACCTGCTTTTCATTGAAATTGTACCAGTACGTGTTAATTTATCAGTAACACGTGTTAATAAAATAAGACTTTGTTGAAGTGGGAGACCTAATTTTCCGCTTTTGATGAACAGCAAGCGATGTTTTGATTAATTTTCGCAGGACAGGTGGGTTTAGAGTTCAGTTGTGTTGGTGTCTGTTGTATGTAGCTACCACTAATTTATTTCTCCTTCCTTAGGGGCCCACACAGAGGCATGTGCAGATAATCATGGAGAACCTGCTGAGGACGGTGAACAGAACAGTCATTTCCATGGGCCGCGATTCCGAGCTCATCGTAAGTGTCTCCTGATGGAAACTTAAACACCTCTGTCACAGCTTGGGGAACCTGCCTGTAATAGGATTTAAATCCCAGCTGACCCAGAGCAATCAAAACCTCCTGTAGCTGTCTGTGTGCTCAGGAAGCTGGAAAACACTGGCTGCTCACTTTGCCGGGGTTGACACAGGGAACTGTGAGAAAAAAGAGACTTGAAAAGTATCCGTGGGCAGGTGGCGAGCCAGATCTGAGAGATCTGTGTTCACCAAGATGATGGATTATTGGCAATTAGTCAGCTGAGAAGGGTGGAAATGAGAGACTTGGCTGTTTGTTGCTGCTTTACAAACATTTACATGCCTTTTTTGACTGAGCTAACCAAGCTGGCAGTATTCAGATTATTCAAGAATAGAATTATTATATCTGAATTATTCTGTTCTGAATACCTACAGCAGGGACTGATAACAGCCACATAGCTGTCTTACCACTGTGATTTTAGAACCTGACACTTTAATTTTTCAACTGCTAATTAATTAATACTGGTCTAAATAACAAATAGGATGGTGAGGCCTGTTGGTGTCTAAAATGGGGATAGATGTGAGTGTGGGTTTGGGAGTGTCACTGTGTATTTCCCTTTATCTTACATTCTCCCTTTGGTGTCTGCATCTGGCAAGTGGTACATGCAGGAAACTGGTCCAGGTGGCCCAGATGTGTGATCTGTCTGAGCCCTCGTCCCTCTGTTCTGCATCCCTTTGGTCCAGTTTGGTTCAAAACTCTGATTTCTTTCTTAGAGAGGAGTTAACTCTTAGATCTGAGTCCTTCAGCAACTTGGTTTTTTGATCTCCCCGTTCCTTTCCAATTTAAATTCTCTGTGTAACTGCACACAGTGATATGTGACTTTTTAGGAGGCTCTGTGTCCTCAGAACCTTTTATTTACCTGCTGCTGCCTCTCTGCTTGGCCCAAGGTGGTGCCTGTGCTGTCAAAGGTGCTGCACTTGAATTTTGTCTCCAGTTCACCATCCACTGACTTATTTTTGGCCTTCCACTTTTATCACTTTGGTTTCCAACAGCAGGTTTGGTTGTAAGAAAGAGATAATGGGTCAACAGGCCCATTGCTGGAGTGAGAAATCATAGAATCCCAGAATGGTTTGGGTTGGAAAGGACCTTAAATACCATCCCCTTCCACCCCCTGCCACAGGCAGGGACACCTTCCACTAGCCCAGGTTGCCCCAAACCCCATCCAACCTGGCCTTGGACACTCCCAGGGATTGGGAATCCAAAACCTCTCTGGGCAAATGGTTCCAAGCAGATCATTCTTCCAGAATATTCCAGTGCTGGGACTCAGTAGGAGTGAGAGGAAGGCGAAAGACGTGTGTGTTTTATTTTAACTTCTTCAGCTTCGGTTCGAATGTGAATTAATTATTGTTTTGATGAACATGATTCAAATGGCATTCAGAAGTGTTAATGATGCCTTTTGCAGTTACCACGTTCGATCTGAAAACTTGTGGCTGTGTTTTAATTAAGTACATTTGTATTAAAAATATCCCCGGTGCTGGTGAGCACAGCCTGGGATCCCTTCCATCTGCAGCCTCTGTAATTAGTTAATGAGGACTAACAGGAAGGGGATTTTCAAGGAGTGCTTTCTCCTAACTCAGAATTCAGCCTGTTGCTGAAAGGAGGCCCCTGTGAGTAACCAGTAACAACTTCTTTTTGTGGTGTCAGCAGAACAGGAAGAGTAAAATGTGTAATAATCATAATTAGGAAGCATAACCCGACCTCCCTTGGATCAGATTTGGGTTGAAATGATGCACTGACTCTTCTTTTTTTAGTTTTACCTGGAATTACCCATCCAGGAAGAGTAAGGGGAAGGAATTCTAAAAATAAAAGATTTAGAGGCAAAGTTCAAATAATGACAACCTTTTTTAGAAGAAGTAAAATACAGGACATAACAGTTGGTTTCTTCTATAAATCTAGTTGTNAGGAAGAGTAAAATGTGTAATAATCATAATTAGGAAGCATAACCCGACCTCCCTTGGATCAGATTTGGGTTGAAATGATGCACTGACTCTTCTTTTTTTAGTTTTACCTGGAATTACCCATCCAGGAAGAGTAAGGGGAAGGAATTCTAAAAATAAAAGATTTAGAGGCAAAGTTCAAATAATGACAACTTTTTTTAGAAGAAGTAAAATACAGGACATAACAGTTGGTTTCTTCTATAAATCTAGTTGTGTTGGTGTCCTAAAGCTGCATGTTTTCTCCTTGAAAAAAATCCAAAACCTGATGTTGCATAATCCAGTTTGTGAGCAGTGGAGGAATGTCAAGAATTTAAGTGCTCAAGTGACAGTGTCTGATGACAGGAGGTGCCTTTCCTAGAGTGTTGAACTGGAAGATTCTCCAACAGTTTCCTTTGACCTTGCACATTTGTTTTTTTTTGCAATCCTTAAATGTAAGTTCCTGCATAAAATAAGCTGGTTTTGTCATGTACCTTCAGAAGAGAATTACCTTGAATTAATGTAGACCAGCTGCAAGGAGAAAAACTAGATATTAAATTGATAGTTTAAAATCTGATTTGACCATAATTTTGGTAGTAGGAGAATTTTTAATCCTCATTGTTTTGGACTCTCTGGAAGCCTCGGTGGTGATTTTTACTCGATCCGTTTGCTGAGCAGAAGGTTCTGTGTTATTTTATATTTGTTATAGATGTATTTATTCTATTATTTAGTGGCAGTAGGAGCAGGATGCAGGCTGTGGGTGCTGAGCTGTCCCCTGCAAGGTTGCTGCTCAAAGCTGCCTGTTTGAGGTTAATTCTGCTCCTGCCTCGAGCTGCTCCTGCTCCTGGCGCATTGAGAAGTCACCTTGAACAAAATCATGTCTTTCTTACTGGAGAACATGTTGCCTGAAGAGAAAAGTAAATTGAGCCAAGTTCCTTCAGCCTCTGGAAGGAGGATTTTAAACTGTCTCTTCCCTTACCCCTTTTGAAGGATGTTGGGTTCCAGCATTGTTCAGTGTGAGGCAATAATTGTCCTCCTTCAATAAATCAGGGCTGACCAGCCACGATGGTGGGTCCAAAGGGAATCCTGGCTGCTCCCACCTCCTCCTGGTCAGCAGCTTGGAATGGGCTTCATTTACAAAACCAAGACAACTGAGGTAGTTCCTGAAGAATTTAATTTAAAAAGGAAATTGCCTGGTCTAGTGAAAGGTGTCCCTTTGGAACTGGATGAGCTTTGGAGTTCTCTTCCGACCCAAAATGCTCGTGGTTCGGTGACCCTGGGATGTCCAGGTGGGGTTTTTGGATTCCTCTGTGTAGTTTCTGGAAGATACTCAGTTGGCAGTGATTGTAGTGAACAGACAGCCTTGATTCCTTTGTGTGATGGAACAGATCAAATTCCATTTTGATACAGAAAAAAATGGAGCTTGTGGATGGAAGAGCAAAGAGGGCTCTGAGAGGTTGTGGACTCCCCAACCCTGGAATTGTCCAAAGCCAGGTTGGAGCAGCCTGGGCTAGTGGAAGGTGTCCCTGCCCATGGCAGGGGGTGGGACTGGGTGGGATTTGAGGTGCCTCCCAACCCAAACCATCCCATGGCTCTGGGATTCAATACCCAAAGCAATCTGGGATTTCCACTCCCAGGATTCAGTCCTGGAGAACAGGCTCTGAACACGTAGTGGGTCTGTGGGGAACAAAGTCAGTGTGAAAACCTCCTGAGATCAGGGGAAAAAGAAATCCTATTTTGGATGTTCTTGGGATGTGTGAGTAGGAAGCAGTGAGACAGGGGAGGACTTGACGGCTTTACTGATGGGTGGAGTGTTTCCCGTGTTGCTTCTTTCCCTCCTTCTACACTTGAGGACAAGGATATGATGAAACGAGGACAGAAATGGAGCAGAAATCATCAGAAAATAAAGAAAGAGATGCAGAAGCCATCTGAGGTCCATGTGCAGGAGGTGTAGAGGTGGCCCTTGGTGACAGTGAAGGTCTGTGGGATTAAGGTGACCCCTTAATGAGTGGAGAATGTGGCTCTGATGGGGGGAGTGACTTTGGGACAGATAATCAGTCAATCCAGGACAGTGATGGATTGTCCATCTCCTGGCACCTTCCAGGCTGGAGGCCTTTCTGAAAGGCAGTAAAATACAAATCTCTATAAAATATGAATTATTGAGGGTCACAGGAGAGAGTTCTGGGGCTACAGTTATTTAGGATTTGAAGCTGTTTGTAAATGAATCTTTCTGTGCCTTAAAACCTGTCCAGCTCAGGGTTAATGGATTCCAAAATGTTGATGAGAACTTCATTTTCCTCACTGCAAAAAAATGTGAAAATACTTTGTTTTCTTGAGTCACATGTTTTCTTCTCTTTCAAAATCATTTGAAATTACATCTTGCAAACTGAATTTCACAGGAAGTGAAGTGGGATTTGGATGATGACTGCGCTTTTTGGTTTTGGTTGTCAAACCTTCAGGGATGCAGTGATGGGTCGGGACCATTCCCTACCAACATTCATGGGAAGAAGCTGCATCCTCCTGAACAAATGGCCAGGGAATTTGTAGCTCTTCCCCTTATTTTAATGAACCACAGATGGGTTTTGGGGTTGCTGAGATATGAAAGTTTTTTCGTGCAGTTCCTTTCATTCTCTCAGATCGTGTTGGTGGATTTTCAGTGGCGATCCAGTAGAATTCCAGTAGTGATGTATACTGTGTGCTGCTGCCCAGGTCCTAAAGAACTGGGATAATCTACCAGCAGAGTGGAAAGTCCATGAAAAATGACCCTATTTGATTTGAAAAAGTAATTAACCTTTAAGCCATCGAGTGAAATTAAAGGCAGGGGTGGTAGTTTTGCATCTCAAGCAAGAAAAAGCAAACACTTTGTACCCACAGTAGGATTTTCCAGTTTTAATCACGATTTTTTTTTTTACTTTATCCTGGATTTTTTTTTAAATATTTTTTTACAGTGATTTTTTTTTTAACCTTTAAGAAACCAAGGGCTACTCACAGGGGGTGATGATTCCTCAGAGCTCTAAACCAAAGGGTGGAACT